GATTTATTCGTGCATGTGACGTCAAAATGCACGGACTGATTTGCGAGCACAGATGAAACCTAAAACACACATTTTTTTAACCCTCCCACCGTCTTTATGGGTGACCCCGCGAGGAAAGTTGACCATTGAGCAGGATTGATGGTTTATCACTTGAGGTAGCTGGAAGGGATAAACCATCAACCCTGCTCAATGGTCAACTTTCCTCACGGGGTCACACCCATTAGGAGAGTGAGAGGGTTAATAGACGTGCAGAGCATATGTTTGCTGGAAGAGAAATTTTGATTTTTGGTTTTTATTTTTTATTTGTAGTTTGGTAGAGTGACGTATAGACGTATTAAACACAGTTAGTGTTAAAAAGAAGCCTAGTCTTTGCTTCCCTGTTGTGCCCACTATTGTGGTAGCCTATTTTATTCAACCCAAATGTTTTTTTTTTCTGAACGAAGGCTACTGGGTTTCTTTCTTTTATTAGTTTGAGTAGAAAATGGAATGAATCCCTGCTGCGTTTGGACGCACTCTGAGGAGGCGGCTTTGGTTCACAGCCAGAGATCCATTTATCCCTGTCACTTTCGTTTTTAAAATAATAAATAACCATTCAGTACCGTCAAATTTACATTCATTTTAATTAATATTTAGTCCAAACAAGCTGATCAGAGTGCCCTGGTAAGTAACATAAACAATGTAATTAAACTATTTCACTGAAAGTAATTTCACCTGCTGCGGCCCGAATGCACATTTCTTCAGCTCCGCGTAAACCTGAGCTGGTCACCTGCAGCTTGTGCTTAATCAAACGTCTCTAGGGAGTTTGCTGAAGAGGTTATGAGGTTCTGGATTTTTGCCTCAGACAGACTAACGGATGTTTAACTGTTCTGGGTGGATCCTCGCTCCGCTATTCATTCGTCCCATTAACACACTCGAGGCGGGTGCTGAATAACAAGCGCTACTTCAAAGTTTTAAATCAGGAAACATTTCTCCAAAAGAAATGACCAGAAGTCTTCCACTCTCTGAAAGATAGAAGGGTTTCCACTTTCCACTCAACGCCTCGCTGTTGTGCACGAGTGCGTCACAGAAGTTCTCCGAGTATGGAGTGAGTTCCGCCTCCAAAATCCGAGCTCCTCCTCCGCGCGCCGCTTGCAGCGAGAGGCGGAGGAGGTGAGAAAATGCTCAGATGCGCTGATGGAGATCTTTTCTTTATCGTTACCTCAGCGATGTTCTCTGTGCATAACGTGTAAAATATTTGTCATTAACAAACTCACAAGGTAATAAATAACAGGGTATCTGCAGGTTTAAGGGAGCCAAATTTAAGACTTTTAAAGACCTTTTTAAGGCCACTTTGACCAAATTTAAGCTACTTTGAAATTAAATTTAAGCTATAATTTCTAGCTATTGCCTGGAACCGGTGCTAACCACATCACAAAAGTGGGATTAACCATCCAGTTACCATTAAACTTGCACTTCCCCATGGCACAAGCTCCCACTAGCTTAACCAGCTAATGTGCTCATCAAAAATTGGTCCCCTTTCACAACCAACTGAATGTGTACGGTTCTGCTTATGCCAATATCATACCCAAAAATGCTGAACACTAACTAGAAATTCACAAAATTTAATAGAAACAAAATAATTGTGTTTATTGGGTCTTTGGTCATTTAAGACCTTTGGAAACTTTATTTAAGGATTATTTGTCATTTTTAAGGATTTTTAAGGCCTTAAATTCGGAAAAGCAAATTTAAGACTTTTTAAGGACCCGCGGATACCCTGAAATAAACAAATCGCCTCCTGAAAAACTCAGCCGTAACGACTCAGCCCATCGCCCAACCCTAATCCAGACTTTACTAAGAAAAGGAAGAAGGTGTGCTTCTAAACTCCTTTACACCTGAAAACATACTAAAAGCTAAATTCTTGCTTTTATATAAATGTTAAGCCAAAAACAGGAAGCCCAAAATAAAATGATAACCAGAAATGATGGCTCACCTTCTGAGAGCAAAGATGGTTTCCCAGTGTTTCTCTGTAATGTTTCTGATGAGTTGGACCTCATCCAGAACCAGATGCCTCCATCTACTCCTCATGAAATGGCTCTGATCTTTCATCAGAAGCTTGTAGGATGTTACACACACGTGAAAGCTATTGGTTTCGTCCCACAACTGCAAAGCAAAGGTCACATGATCCGTTACTTTTTGTCTAGAGGTTGAGGACAACAGCTCATTGGGTGAAGAACATTTAAACATCAATACCGCTCTCTTAAATCTGCGTTCCTTTCTGCTGCCCAGGTATAGAAGGATCTTGAGGCCAGGACACCAGCGCTTGAACTCCAACTCCCAACTCAACAACTTGCATGTTCTTACTACAATGAGATGGGGCCCCCAGATGCCTGTGGACAAAGTCCAGTCAACATCATTAGAACATGTGTGAGTGATTAAAAACCATGCCCATCTTTAAGTTGCGACATACCCTCCTGGCATGCTAAGTGTGCCATGTAAGCCACTGTCTGCACTGTCTTGCCAAGTCCTGTTTCATCAGCTAAGATCCCATTGAGCTGCTTTTTGTGGAGGTTTATCAGCCAGTCTACACCGATCTGCTGATAGTCTCGTAGCACTCCGTGCAACAGGAAAGGAGCTGGGCTGCGAGTCTAGTAAATTATTCAATGATAAAAAAAATAGAGATGAGTTAAAAATGCTAAAGCTAGTTTTAAATGTTAGGCTTTCTGTTTTCCTACCGAGGAGGTGGTTCTGAGACTGCCTTTAGGCAAGATGAGTTCTGTGGCAGCAGCCACCTCAGCGATGTTTCTGCCAGGCTTTCCACTTGAATCAGACGTGCATTTATCGGCCCCCCGATAATGATCCATGCTAAGCAGAGAGTCGATTAACACGGCTTCGGGTGGACTGCCTAAAGGACATTCCATGTCTGGAACACAACAGACAGAAAATAGTTTGGAGTGACAGGATTCTCAGCCAGAAGTTTGATTACATGTCTGACTTTACCTTCACTCTCCTCCACGTCATCCATGTCACTATGAGGCCGAGGCCACTCGAAACCTTCAGCGTAGGCGCCAGCGTACTGCTTCATCAAAGCATCCAGGGACATCTCAGCTTAAAAACAGAATGAAACAAAACAGAGAAGTTGATATCATCATCATCATTAGTAGTAGCAGTAGTAGTAGATTGCTATTCTGGTAAATGTACTGACTGTATGTCACACAAACCCATATGTGTTTAAATTTGTTGATTGGTTGGTTTTGCTCGTCGCCTACATCCCAGCATCTGGTCCAAACCAAAGAGAGATCATCAAAGAACATACCTTCTTTAGCAAGGTCACTGAGTTCTGCTTTGTGGTCAGTCTCTCCTTCCATAAATTCCTGTTCCTCTATGGTGCTCTCCTCATCTGTAGCTAAAATGGAATAAACAGCATTTACAAATCTGATTATTCAGATTAGACATTTATCGTTTAATCATTAAAACTTTTAACTACCATCTTCATCAGCCAGGGACAAGCTTGATTTTCTTTTCTTAGCAGATGCAGCTCCTTCCTATAAAGTACAAAAACATCATTTTATTTTTCCATTACCAATTCAAGAGAAGAAGTATGCATTAACTGTAATAGTAATCATGTCAATGCAGAACATACCGCTTTATCGACTTTGTCTCCCGTCTTACCCGTCGCTGCAACACAGGAGGGATGAGTTTGGTATAAAACGTTACATAAGAGACATCACACAATCCTTCTGAATGACAAATATTAAAGCTTCCATTAACCAAAGCTCCTTTTGACCAAACAACAATTATATTTATGTAACTGGATGCATTAAAACCAAGATGTTTATTAACTAGCCCTTGCGGGAAAGAAAAACTTTAAACTCCCACGTTGCTTAGCGGGACATACCTGAGGCTTTTTGTAAACCAAGTGCTTTGAGCTTCTTCTCATAAATTTCAAACTGGAGTTTGACTTCCACAACCTTAGACACAGAACAGATAAACATGTTTATTCCCACATCACATGACCTGACACATGAGAACAGAAAACTAAAACACACTTACCTGCTCAATGTTTGACCAGAAGAATTCCACCTCTCGTGCGATTGTGCTGGCAATGTGACGAAGATGAGTTTCCTGTTCTTTCTGTGACCTTTCTTCACTTTGCTTCTGCTCCTGATGGTACCGTGCACATGTGCGGACCAGCTGCAACCGCGAGCCACAAGGCATTTTTAAAAACACGGCACATTATGTAGCTACTCCTACTGTGCTGATGCCACATTTCTGTCAAGTGAATTTTTATGTCAAACCTTTTTAGCAACAGCCTCCTTCCACCTTCTCTCCTGAGCAAAGTCTGCAGCCATCCACTGCATCTCCTCCAGGAGGTAGTCCCATTGAGACTTTGGACGAGAAACTTCCACAAGCTTTGGGAGTCTGCTAGCGGACCACTGGCCCTCCTTCCTGAGCTCAGAAATACGCTGATGCACCTGACTTTCCTAAAACACAGACAGCACATATCACGACGTAAGAATTATAGCTGAGGAAAATGCATCAAAATGCAGACATAAACGATTCTGAATCGTGGAAAAAACACGCAGAAATCATTAGAGTGGAATGCAGTTTTTTTTACCACGGCGCCTGCGTCATTCATGTCCTCCACATTTATTTTTAAGTAGAAAATATTGGTCCGTCTTGTTGCCGGGCTGAGCGCTGAACCCAAACCGAGTAAGCCCTACGAGTTCAGTCGGGTTTGGGCTTGTGAATTATGTTAAGGGAGCGGGTTGGGTTTCGCAGCGCGCTTGAAAAGCAAGCGATAGAGAGATGCACAGAGTCTGCTCGCAAAAGAGAGAGGAGCGGAGGATGCACCTCTAAACACGTATTATTATTTCTCCTCTAAACGATTAAAAAACTCAGGTTCAGTCAAACCGAGTTGTGATGTCTGGAGATCCGGAGTTGGGGGTGAATGACGGCGGCTGCAGCATCTAATCATCTATTTATTTTATTTAGGGACACAGAGAAGTTAACATTTTAGGACAAAGGACACTTTATTCTTTTGTTTCATGATAATAAATTGATGTTAAATTCAACTTAAAGAAAAACTGGGAGGAAGCTTTGGCTCATTTTAAGTTACAGGAGATTTTCTTTCCCATCTGCTCCTCCAGAGACACCATGGACATGATGAGATAATAAAAGTCCCACAGGGCAGGATAGTGGAAAGGTTGGTAGTTAGCCGGTTGGTGAAGAAGCTGCATCAGCTGGGTAGGCTGTCATTTAATCCTAATCCAGCCCACAGCCTCCTGCTGGTGTTATTATTATCAGCAAGAATAAAACAAACATCTCAAATATTATTGGAAGTTTAGGATTTATAAAAATATTTTAGTTAGGGATGTAAGATTTTTTTTATGATATATCGATATTCAAAATCCGTGTATCGAATTTTTGGAATAATTCCCATGCAAACATTTGTGTATTTTCTTTTCTTTTGGTGCAATTCAAATGCTGACCACTAGTTGGCAGCAGTGTGTAATGGGTTTTGTTTTCACCATTGAAATGTAAATCCCTCTATTATGGTTAAGATACCTCATGTTAAACATGTTATGTATTAGTTTGGACTGTTTATTGAATTTTCCTACAATAATTTCAGTCTAAAATAATTGCTAATATCATCTGGCTGAATATATCGTATCGTCTCCCCGTATCGTGATACGTATCGTATCGCCAGAATGCACATCCCTAGTTTTAGTACTTTCTGCATTAAACAGAACTTGATTAATTCTCCAACATTTCTGAAATGAGACCATTGGTTCAAATACCAAACTAACTGAAACATTTCATTCCCAGTTATTCATTTCTTACATCCTTGAACTGCAGCATAAATGTTTGTCTCTAAAGCTGCTCAAAGACATTCAAAGGCTAATATATGGACCCATAATGAATTTTGTAACCTAAATTAAAGGCAAGAATTGGACATGTCCTATAGGTTTTCAGTTGTTAGCATCTGCAGAGCTCTCACAGCCTGAGACGTGACTACGGAATGAGGAAGCAGATTTTTTTAAATTTCTTAAAGGGTCTTAAGTGTTTATAATGTTTGGTTCTTTTACATTGTCCTAAGGACTGCTGTGATGGAAGGGCTTCTGAGGGATGGTGTGTGGTGTCAAACACATATTTGATTTAAAAAACAAAATATCTGACATCTTCTGTTTATTGAAGAAAACAAATCCATATGAAATAATCAAGATGCATCAGAATATCGAATTGAATCGAATAGTTGACCCAATTTTGGTAATCAAATTGAATTGGGAGACTAGTGAATATTCACACGTCTGATAAGAATGACCTAACAGCATGGAACATGAGAAGTATTAATTAAATGTTTTCACTTTAATTAAAAGACTAAACAAAATGCAGCATGAGCTAAACTTTCCAACAAGTTTACAGCTTCATCATAATAATTTCATGATAGAAGCAAGAATGACCCAAAAACCTTCAGGTCAGTGCACCAGAAGCCAACTTCTGCCTAAATTTGTGTCAGCAGATAGTTCTAAAACCAGTTGTAAACTTAGTTTGTCCCTGAATTTCAGCCCCATTCCTCCCAGTCTAACCAGTTTTACACCAAAACGTTTAAGGGCTGGATGGGGATTTTATAGACTGCGGTTTCCTGAAAAAATAATTAATTTTCACAGACTTTTTTTTGGGTTAGGCCACCAGGAATGCTGGTGTCTAGTAAAAATTAATAATTAACAAATGTACTTTTCAAGCATCTGCAAAATTCCTCCTTGAGTCATTTATTCAAGTTTGACGACTCCAAGTGACATCACATACATGACATAACTGCTTTATTTTATTTTTTCTAAATTATGATGCAATTATTCCAGTTTTTATTTCAATTGGGCTTGGACTCATCGTTGTCTTCCTCCGCTCATCCGGGCCCGGGTCATGGGGGCAGCATCCCAACTAGGGAGCTCCAGACCGTCCTCTCCCCAGCCACCTCCACTAGCTCCTCCGGCAGGACCCCCAAGGCGTTCCCGGACCAGATTGGAGAAGTAACCTCTCCAATGTGTCCTGGGTCAACCCGGGGACCTCCTGCCGGCAGGACATGCCCGAAACACCTCCCCAGGGAGGTGTCCAGGAGGCATCCTGACCAGATGCCCAAATCACCTCAACTGACTCTTAGGGTTAAATTGATCAGGTGCAAATAAAGAATTAATTCTCTTTAGTCTATCAAATTCAACCAAAAGAAAACCTATCTACTGATATGCTCTCATTTTACTCAAGACCTTCTGTAATTATTAAATATGATTTACTTAAAAATTATTAAAGGTTTATTATGTAAGAATGAAGTAAGAATGACATCCTGTGGTCAAATCTGGTTACTGCAGCCCATTTTTATAAACATATGGTGACTCTCTCACTACTGTTGGGTGAGTTTCATGGCTGTTGCCAGTTATGGATCAGTAGCATTGTTAGTTTAAAGTTAGCTTCTAGAAAGAAATCCGTTTCAAAGTAACCTGCCTTCCTACAGGGTTCAGACATTAGACTGTTTTGGGATTCTTTCACTGAAGAATTATTACCTAATGCTCCTTTAAATACAATGAGCATTTAAAAAAATGTGCAGATATTAGACCAGAATTTTTTGTTGTCTAAAATAATAAAAAATATTGTAAGAATATCAATCACTAAAAGATTAAATTAGGCCAGCGGTTCCCAAACTTATTTAGCCGCGCACCTCCTTCTATGTCCCGACCATGTCGACGCACCCCCCAGCCCCACATCAGGGTATGGGTACATATATATACATATATATATGGACCCATATATATATATATATATATATATAGAGAGAGAGAGAGAGCCAGATATATATATAAATATATATATATCAGACGTCACGCTAAACCAGGGGTCAGCAACCTGTTCCCATCAAAGAGCCATTATTACCCGTTTCCCACAGTAAAGAAAACACTGGGAGCCACAGCAGCCGCGGCGTTGTGGGCGGGGCCTACCCTCAGACAGCAGAGCGCTGCTCACAACAGGTGACAGCAGCCAGTACCGGTCGCTCGTGTACGTCAAAGTTATCTTTCATAAGAAGATAATCAATAAAACGATTTATATAAAGTGGATCCAGAAGTTGTAGCCCGTCTCTGCCTACAATATTTTGATATTTTTCACCCTGTTGGTGGTTTTACTGAGCAGGTGCCCCTTTTGTCATCCGTTTCTTTTTAAAACATGTTTGGACTGTTCAGAATACAAATCCAGGCTCTGTCACGTTTGATTGTTGTAATTAAACTTTGTAGGTGGGGAAGGTCAGAAAAGGATCTGATCAATTTGTTTTTCCCTCATTTACAGTAACGGAGATAACGGCGCAGTGCGCCTGGCTCTGATGTAATCAAGTTTAATTTGCAACAATTTTCACAAGAGAACAGAAAAGCAGGGCTTGTGTTGTGTTGACCGGATAGTTACCGTATTTGACGGTTTATTTTGACAGAGAAAGAACAGAAAGAATTACCCGACGCACGCAGACGAACTGACACTTTATTCGTCTCGCAAATCGCAGATGTAGCTAAATCACTCAAGAAAAGATTTCCTTCTGAACATCTGAGCTGGACACTGCTCAGCGCAGCTCACTGTCAGCGCGTACATAAGGTGCACAGCGAGCTGAAGATGTGGAGAGGGGCTTGGAGCGCGTCGCAGAACCAGAGCGCATGCAGGAAGATTCTTCCGACTGAAGCGAGCGTTTTCCAAACCCTGTCTCTCAGAGAGACTTGTCATTTAGAAAATGTTCCCTGATGATGAAACTTTAGCTGTGGCGTCTGAGGAGAATCCCAGAATCTCACATCCTCTTCAGCTCAGAAAGTGCCTATATGATTACGCACAAGCGTGACGCGTCAACCCGGTCTCACAGTAAGACCGGGTTGGACCTGTTAAGTAGGGCTGCAACAAACGATTATTTGGATAATCGATTAATCGGATGGGGTCTCGACACGATTAATCGATTAATCGGATTACATGGGGACATTTTTAAAAACTGCTAGGGAAAAGTTATTTCTCTCCTTCCTTCACTTTATTTAACACAACATTATTAGAAAACAGTTCAATAGCAGAAAAACAACATGCCATCACCTAAATTGTCTTATAAGGTGCATAGACAGAGACCCTAAGCTACATCTATCTGTGACCTAAAATGCTTGGTCCAAGTTAAACAGCTTAAGGGCAATTCTCATCTGTTTTGTTTGATCTCATCTGTTGACATTTATTTTAAATGTAATTAAACATAGGCTGTGAATTAATCAAAATTGATCACTATTTCCAAAAATGACTGAAAAAATACCAAATAAAACAAAAGTAAATGAATGCCATCCTCCTTGCGATGATGCCCTGGGCAACTGCCATAAAGTCACATCAAGAAATGCTGCTGATCATTCCAATGATCCCAAATAGACTCACATTAGGCCACATGAAAGCAACTGAACCCAAAAATATATTAACCAGTATATAACTGCACTCTCACACAACACGCCTGCAGCAACAGTTAGGACTCCTCCCTCCCTTTTAAAAGCGTTTTTGCTTCTGAGGACATTGTGGTTGTAAAACCACATGCAAGTAGTCTGGCCCCGGTGTGATCAACCAGTTTCTGCGGGAATGTGACGGCGGAACCAGGGCCAGATTAACACTTTGTTGTACCCTGGGCAACAATATTCAAGGGCTCCATCATCACGACCCAAGGATCACCATAATGTGGTCACATACAGAATATTTTACTGTAATATGCAGTAAATATACTCAATACTTGAATGCCTGACAACACGTAACCCGCCCAGAGTAACCTTTGACCCACCTCGTGTGGACTGACCAATGAGGAGAGGGTCTTAACTTGAGGCCCTCTCTTCATTGGTCAGTCTGCATGAGACTGACTCTCAACTGACGTTCAGTCATAGGCAGCGAAGCGTCTCTGTGCAGTGCAAAAGCCCGGACAGTTTGTTTAATGTAGGGTGACCATATTTCCATTTCCAAACAAGAGGACAGGGGATCTGTGCCTATGACGTCACACTATGGCAACGCCACACAAACCATGTTGGGACCCATTTTTTGTAAGAACTAAATTAATATCAGATTCTGCCAATTAAAGGGCTCTAAAACAATTCATATGTAAATATTTTGCATATTTAATGCAAAATCTAATTTTTCTGCTTTAGTGCTGCAACAAGGTTTTATTAATAATAAATTATTATACCTTTTGTTTTACTACAGCATCGGTAAGCTTCCTGTGCACAGATTATTAAGGATGCTTGTTTCAGCTGTGAGATTAGACGATAGCATCAATGAAAAAATAAGTTGTCACAAACTCCATGGAAACTTTCAGAGAATCCACAAATAGTGGCTTTCAAATAGTTTTGTTACTTTTTGCAAGTTTATAAAAGAAGCAGATGAGACAGCATGTCTGATAATTTAGTTTTTCATCTGATAATATTAGAACATGTCAGTAATGTCTGAGGGGCTTTTATAAACACCATATAACTAACACTACTGGAGAGGGCATGAACTACACAGAGGCTTCTGGGGAGCCCAGTTATTGGGGGGGGCATTTTGCCTTGGCCCCCAAAACGGCCCTGGGTGTGTGACTGAGTTTTGAAGGTGATCTGAATTGTATCAGATGTATAAATATGACATGTGTATAACTTATTGTTTTTTACTGGTAAAAACGTGTAGTGGAGATAAATCTACCTACATTTTACTTTTCAACACTTTGTTTTGTTTTCTTGTTTTTATTGAACTATTTTCCTGTCCTGTCTGTCTCTCATCTTCCTGCATCTCCTCTTAATTCTCCAGAAAATCTGTTGCCTGGATTCTTACCTTTTCACCTCATCAGTTACTTTTGAGCAGATCAAAGGGATCTCCTGACCGAAAAGCGCAGAGCGCGTTTTCGATGCTGCGTGAGGTGACATCACCACAGCACAGGTGATGAGCTCCGCAGTAGCGAGCTTCAGGCACAAATAAGACAGAAAATAGAGAATATGTGCGGACATGAACGATCGTGTGCTAATTATAGTTTTTTGGTTGCGCCACTTTGAGAATGGACCGTGCGCTGGAAGCAGCTGCCTGGATCGCTGTGCAACAATGCGGAACCGGTTCGCAGCAGCGCAAGTCTGCCGGCTCTCCCTCGCGCTGATCTGCGGCTCTCCCTCGCGCTGATCTGCCGGCTCTACCTCGCGCTGATCTGCGGCTCTCCCTTGCGCTGATCTGCGGCTCTCCCTCGCGCTGATCTGCGGCTCTCCCTCGCGCTGATCTGACTTGCTCTGGTCTGCGCGCAACGGCGGGCGGGAAGGGGGGGCGCTTTTGGAAGAGTTGTGCGACACAACGAATCGATGACGCAATTCGTTGCCAACGCTTTTAGTAATCGATTTTCATCGAATTTATCGATTCGTTGTTGCAGCCCTACTGTTAAGGTTTACGCAGACAATCTTTACAAAAGAATTGGCATACAGATGTAAAATTTATGCAGTAAAATATAAAGCATTTTATTTAAATATCAGGTCATTATTTTACAAGCACAGAGAGCCGCATCAGATGGATGGAAGAGCCGCATGCGGCTCCAGAGCCACGGATTGCCGACCAATGAGCTAGGGCATATGCGGAGAGAACGAGAACGAACACGAACACGAACACGAACACACACACACACACACACACACACACACACACACAAGCAAAATATACTTGTTTTCAATTACATTTTCTTAGGCCCAACCACAAATGAGTTTCTGGCTACACTAATGGTGACTTTTGACAGACTTCTCTGAGCTCCGCAGCCATTACACTTTTCACCTCGCGCACCCACCACACTTCGGGAATCCCTGAATTAGGCAATTCTCTAAAGCCGGCATTTAATTCTGTGTGCTTAAACTCACCAGTTTGGCCTGTTCCACTTGTTTATCTTGAGAACCTTCTTGTGAGGATGGCACAGTGGGATTTTGACCAAAGCCACTTGTTTTGACAGCAGATAACCCATTGGTTCCAGTTAGTTTGGACTGGGTGCTTGGGTTGGTGTTGGGGGCCAGAGGACGTAGAGAATTAGCCGTGAGGGACGCTGAATTGGAGTTAGGCGTGGACAGAGAAGCAGGAGACACTGATGCTAATGTCACAGAGTTGGTCACAATTCTCTGGACCGGCTGGTTTGGATCGGTACCGGGACGGGCAAGTGTCACCGTCTATTGACAAGAGATAGATTTACAGTATAACGCAGACTGAATACATTAATGTGACAGTAACTAATCTCTAACCAGTGTAAGTAAATAATACAATAAACACAGACTTTTAACAGACCCACAATGTCATTATGGAACTCGTCTTACATTAAAACTCTCTGAATGGTTTCACACAAACTGACCGCTTGTCCTGCATGTAGGATGGTCTGGGACTGTTGCTGCTGTGATTGTAGCTGGATATGAAGCCCCGGCTGCACCTGCTGGTGGAGCTGATTCTGGAGCTGTGTGTGGGGGTTCACCGTAGCCAGAACAGCCCCTCCTGCCTGTACTGGTGTCTGGAGTTGCCCACCAGGCTGAGCGGAGTTCTCCACTAACTGACCCTGCTGAGAGAGCGCCATAGGTAGGCCCGCCATAGAGAGAGCTCCCTGAGGCAACCTGCTGGGCAGCTGAGGAGGGGGTGTGTGCAGACTGGCAGCATTCTGTACAGGAGGGCCTTTGGATGGGTCGTACTGCTGCTGGTTCTGCTTCTGTCCTGCTATCTGGACCGCCTGAGGAGTGGGTGGCATACCACCTGTATACATGGCAACCAGAGTATAGAAGAAAGTAGTACACAGAGAAATCCATTTTAAAAATAAATGATAAATCTTTGCACCTTAATTGGAGTGTTTCATATACTTTTTTTCCTTTAATAATTTGAGAGACCCTTTGTAGAAAGCATCCATTTTAAACCTGGTTGGTGGATAATAAAAAATGGACTTTTGGATATTAAATACATGTGTGCACTTAAAGTTTTTGAGCTCCTGTAACCTCCTCTTAATGAACTAGATGCATTAATTAACAGTAGAGTACTACTTTGATGATCCGAGCAAAACCAATGAAACTCATACAGCAAAATGGTTACAGAAGAAATGAAATCGATATGAGAATCTACATGTCTCTCAAATGAAACACTACTTTGATCAATGCAAAACCAAAACATTGCATTTCAAATGCAGAGAATGTGGTTAAAAACATCAAAAACTGTACATGCAGTAAGAAGTATTAGGAGTATAACTTGAAATGTTACAAATAAAAATGAAAAAAGAAAAGTTAGGAAAAAAGAAAAAAGACAGGGAAGAAAAGGGGAAATAATACAAAGCAGACACTCACAAAAACAACACATGTTCGACATGCATGAAGCAATGTCATCATTGTGGCAACCAAGGCATCTGGATGCCTCATATAGCGACAAAGCACAGAGATGAGCAAAAGGACACACATGGGGTTTTGCAGACAGCAGGCCTGAGCAGAGCTGTGCACACTAAAGCAGCACCTGCCTTACCTCCCTGTACGTCACATCACCTTGCCTAGACGCCATCAACACCTGGCCCTCACACACCTACATCACCAAAATCGCAAAAATCCGTGCCGTGAACAAAACTCCTCCAAATGATCTCCCTCCTACTTAGGTTGAAGGAAAGAAGCCAAGTCAGAACAAAACATCATGACATAACATGGAAGAAAAACAACTAAACGTGACCACAAGATAAAAAGATTCTTCAAGACGGGCTTGGTGATGACGGGATGACTCTGTTTTAACGCTACAAAAACAAACAATGGAAGACAAAAGGATTCAAACAGAATGACAATGAGAAATCAAAGGTAAGCATGTCTGGTGGATTCATTCAATGGGATAAGAAGCAATGCCGACTGGAAAGTGGATACATTCCCAGAGGATTCCCACTTTATGAGATCCACCTCTAATTAGATGGAAATCCATCAGGACAGGAGGGTCAGTCCAAACAAAGAAGACTAACTGGAACAAACTAAAAACAAGTGATGAACAACAACAGGTGACCAAGAGGAAATAAAAACGAGACATGGCATCTTCCCACTAATCGTCTTCAGACACGGAATTATCTTCTTCACCAATTATCTTGACAGAGACAGCTGCTGCTGCTGGAACAGCTAAGTCTGAACTTCTTGTGGACTGCTGGGAAATCCAGCAAATGGATGAAGATCATTTTGCTGATGCTGCTTGGAGTTTGTTTTGTAGAAGATAAATGTTGTGATTCACTCTAACCAAAGGATCTCCTTAGGGCATAGGTCCAGCAGCATCGAACAGAACACAGAGCGGCCTGGTGGTGGCACTCCTACCTTGCGCAGTCGGCATTAGCTGCTGAAGTGGAACGCCAGGTGATCCTAAAGGAGCTACACCAGGATGCTGGAAAATCAGCCCATGGCGACCAACGTCAATCCGGGGCCTCTTAGCCTGATCTGGGATTTAAAACACACAATACCCTCATAACGCAAAAAAGGCACTCGGCACAGAGCAATGACCTTCTGAAGACCTTACAGGTCACCTCTCCTTCCTTGGTTTTAGACTTCAACACAGAGCACTAGTAGAGGCTGCCAAATATCTAAAAGCAGAAGCAATTAGAAGGAGGGGAAAAAAAAGAAAACCAACCAAACAAACATAAAAACCAAACTAAGCAAACAGGGGAGGGAGGAACAAAGCAACATAAGAAGGACAAGACTCAAGATCCTTGCCCTACCTGTCTGCACCATAGCCTGTTGCCTCTTAAAGGCATCCATGTCTCCAGGGTTTGTTAAGGTGCCGGAACCAGCCCCCTGCAAAAAACCTCTTAAGGAATTAGTTTAATGGGGTTCTGTTGTAATGGACTTTCTACAAAGATTCCTTAAAAAACAAGATAGAATTTTTCTAAAAATAAATATCTCCTCTATCACCTGAAACTGCTGCGGAGCAGAGAAGGCTGCAGAAACATTGGGAGGAAGCTGTGTTGCTATGGCAACTGGTGTGACTGCTTGGCCATCCTTTCCCGTGACAACCTTTACCTTAAAAACACAACAGTTTGTAAGAGGCCAAGTTTGTAACAGCAAAGCTATCCAGCTGTCAAACATCTGGCCAACCTAAAGCTATATCAGACACAGTGATACCTCGTCATTAATGACCTCCGACTGCTCTTCCTCATCATCGTCATCTTCAAGGTCCAAGTCATTTTGTCGTAAGTAAGTATACAAGGGAACACAATGCTTTTTCTTGAATGCCAAATAGTCCATCATGTTCCCTTGAAGGTGTTGAAGAAAGAAAAGTTCAATCAGGTATTCTTTGAACACTTCCTTAAGGCTTTCCATCTTCTTGGTATGGTGTTCTAAGCACTGCTTTCTCAGCTGTGCGATTTCTGGAGTAGAAGGAGCTATTTCCTCCAACTTCTTGGCAGCTTGCTTCTTCATGGTGACTGCATTCATGCTGGCAGGAGCAAGAGGATTGTTGGGGATCCCTTGAGGCGGACTAGTAATTGACGGGCTAGAAGGTGGAATGGAGGAGGGTATGGTGAATGTTGCTGTAGCTGTGGGTCCTACTCCTGTAACCACACCTTGTGCAGGTTTCTCAAATATCATAGGGCGTGCCAACTGTCCTTGAATGATACTGCTGATCTGTGGAGGTAGATTGGAAGTGGTGATGTGACCAGGACTGCCCAACGTAGAAAGATTCGTACTGGTGGCAGCTGGACTTTGAGGTCCAAGGTGGTGAATGGTACCTCCAGTTTGAGAATGAGGCTGTGAGAGCCTACGTTCCCTCACACATCCTGCTGTTCCTGGAGAAGTTAATTGTACCTGGCCAGGAGTTGCTGGTGCAATCTGAGTTATTCCAGTTCCCTCCTGATAAACAAAGTGGCCTCCTCCGGACTGGCCGCTTAAACTGATTTGTCGTACTAACATTCCAGCTTCAACAAATCGTGTCGGGCTTTGTCCACACACTCCCAATGCTGTTGGAGGAGCCCCTGGCCTTGCAACACTTTGCAGAGAGACTGGGCTTTGCTGGGTGGGACTCTGGGGTTGAATAGGCTGGGGGACAGGTGAGGTGACCTGAATGTAGGAAGGTGAAGCATGCTCAAACCGCCACTGAGGTGTAGTGTGTTGGAAGCCAGGGGATGCAGGGTTCTGAATAGGAAGTGGAGTTAGAGTGATCTGCTGATTAGCAGTCACCATCTGTCCCACATTTTGTAAAGTGATGTTCACATTTTGGCCCGTGACCGGGCTTCGACTCATGATTATCTGATAATTGGGTGACTGGGGGGCTGAAGGGCTGGCAGCAGAGGAAAAAGTGGTTACAGGAGATTGAGGATGGGTAACTGTTGCTTGCTGCTGTGTGGCAGCCATTGCTGGCTGATGTTCCTCTGCTTCTGACCCACTGACAGACTTAGCTTTTTGGAGCTGTCGTTGCATATTCTGTGATCCACTCCCATGGTGCATTGCGTGACACTGGAGCTACGTCAAAGAAGGATTATCTGTGAAATAGGCACAGCACAAAGATGCAATTAAAAAAATATATTAGTATAGGATGTATAAATGGGCAGTTCATAGAACATTGAATTACAAGCTGCTTCTTCAATACTGCCTTTAATAAATAAAGCTTTTTCATCTGTGCCAAAAATCTTTGTTCTTATCACTCATACTCCATCTATTATGATTATGATTATTATGATAGACACTGCATGTCTACCCTTTCAGGCTTACTTTATAGCCTACCCACAATCTAAATGCAGCTTATAACTCTCAAACAAAAAACATAAACCTCAATAACCCTTACACCAACATTTATGTGTCAACTTTTGCCAAGAACCATAATATCAAGAAATACAGAGGAAAACTTGCACAATTTAAAACAATGCATTTTTACCATGTTGAGGATAAAAATTAGGCCCGACTATTGATTAGGTTAAAATATAAAAACATGTAAATATTCACAAATGTGGTCTGTTATTCTTTCTTTTTCTTGGGCCCCAGAACATATCTAGCAGAAGTGTTTTATTTTAGGTTAAATAATTGAAGTAACTGTTATAAATCGTCTTAAGATATGTATGCAGTTTTGAGTGGATGATTTGATATGTGCAACGAAAATATAAGTTTATTACCTTCTAATAACCATAAGTATATAAAGACATTACATGAATATGAAACATGAGGAACTCCGTATTCCAAGAGACGGAAAAATAATAAATAAAGCAAATTGCGTCTTTTGAGTTCTAAAGGTGTTTTGTTTCTTACAAGGGGACTTTCATTTTTGCAAAAACTAAATTAAAAAAAGGCCAATTATGATTTATACTTTCTACCCGAAGTTTGGCCATCAATCAATGGTCTACAATCAATAGGTTGATAATTCCGCTGTTTTAGTTACACTGTAGCACTATTTATTATATAAATTGGACATTGTAATGCCAAAAAGACAACTAATAAACTCACGGCTGCGTAGTAAAATTTTATTTTTATACAGACTTAACGTCAACATCGGGGCGTCACCATTATATCAATATAACACAGTCTGAACAAGAACTAAATGCACCAGCTTGGTCACAATTAGTTAAGTAAAAAATTATATAATAAAAAGTACAACTGTGTGACATTTATAGTAATGCAACACCTCAATGCAGAACTTATTACACCCTAAATACGGAAAGCGTGCTAGCCCGAGCTAGCGGTTAGCTTGTCACTGCTATCGGGCAACCAAGAAAAAAAAATAAAATTAGTCAGTTGAGTACAGTTACTTACAAGGTATGGGATTTCAGCTCTAGTTTAATTAATTTTAAGTCATATCTACAAGAAGCCACAACTCTAAACACGCATTATTCCATTAAATAAAAACAAATGATATTGCTAGCCGTTTCTCAATTGTTTTGAAGCTAATTTCATTCAGCAACATGGCGTCTAGGGAAACGCTCTACATAACCCGGAAGTTGTTGTGCCTCAAAAACTTGACGCAATCACACAAAATAAAATACATTTCAAATGAAAAATTAATAACATTCAATGAGATTTTCAAAACGCATTTTCAGACAAATATAAGGAGTTAAATGTACAGATCATGTGCTACTAACTAAATACATTATATTGTCCAGGTAGAAGAAGAAGAAACGATGATCGATGAGTATGTTGGTCATGAAACTAAAACCCTTTACCAGTGTCTTTTTCAAATAAAAAGATGAATGTTTTCAATGGAAATCTAAAAAAGTGATTTTCTACAAACCTTGTTTTCAAGGATGTATTTTTGGATCGAAAAAGTAGAGACTGTTAGCTTAGCTCTGATTAAAGATGACATTTATTCTACGATGCAAACGTAGTAAATGACAATTTGCAATTTTTAACATTAAACAGGTCGTGTTATAAGTCCTGTTGCTCTCCTGCCTGCTGTGTTTTAGCTTCACATAGTGTGCAAATGTGTGTGTGCATAAGTGAATGAGTTAGTTGTAAAGCACCTTCAGGGGTTGTAGAACCATGAAGGCAGAAGACAGTGGAGATGATTGTGGACTTCAGGAAAGTAACAGCCCCATCTCTCCCCCTCGTCCTGACGGACACCCCCGTCACCACTGTGGACTCCTTCCGCTTCCTCGGAACCACCATCACGCATGACCTTAGGTGGGAGCCATCCATCAGCTCCCTGATCAAAAAGGCCCAGCAGAGGATGTACTTTCTGCGGCAGTTGAAAAAGGCCAAGCTGCCGGCCCAGATGATGGTGCAGTTTTACACGGCCATCATTGAGTCCATCCTCACCTCCTCCATCACTGTGTGGTACGCTGGAGCCACAGTGAGGGACAAACACAGACTGCAGCGCATTGTGCGCTCCGCTGAGAAGGTGATTGGCTGCAGCCTTCCATCTCTCTTGGACCTGTACGTCTCCAGAACTCGTGGGCGTGCAGGTCGGATAGCAGCTGACCCTTCTCACCCGGGTCACAGACTTTTTGAGCCGCTTCCCTCGGGCAGGAGGTTACGGTCCATCCGGACCAGAACCTCTCGCCATAAGAACAGCTTCTTTCCATCTGCCGTTAGACTTGTGAACAGCTTATAAACACACAACCATGCTCGTCTTCGGTACTTGACATAACGTCATGTTATCGGCCATATTACCTTTACCTGCCATTTTTATAGCAAAGTTTTATGCTAGTTTATTATATTTTATTCTACTTTATTCTATTTTTTAATTATATTATTCATGTTATATGTAGCACGTTAGTACCGAAGCAAGTTCCTAGTTTGTGAATCGTTTGTTCACTAACAATGGCAATAAACCTTTTCTGATTCTGATTCTGATAAATAAATATCTTCTGACAAAACATCAATTATCACTCTAAAGAAAATACTGTTGACAGCTTGTGTGTTGTTGTATTTGGTTGTATGACTGGAAAAGTCATGATGAGAGAAATACAAACAGGAATGAATAAGCACCTGCTAGGATTTATGTTTATATCCATTTGGATTTTTGTTAGGTGCCACAGTCTGTCATGCTGGAGAAGCTGAATTCAAAGGTGTTCCATGGCGGGACCAGAAAACGGGAGTGGCAAAGTAGCACCAGGGCTGACTGCCACTTTTACAGTTTTATTCACCCCACAGGAAAACAAGGTTTGACATTAGATCAGAGGTAGAATTAAAACAAAGCAAACAAGTACACACACACACACACACACACACACACACACACACACACACACACACACACACACACACACACACACACACACACACACACACACACACACACACACACACACACACACACACACACATGTGCAATCACACAAAATAAAATACATTTCAAATGAAAAATTTATAACATTCAGATACATAACAAGATTCAGGACTGCCAAACTTCGCAAAAATCTTGAAGTGAGATTTATTTTATTTTTTCACCACTTCTTTCCATATTTGGGACAAAAAAATAATCCTGAATACAGGAACAAAACATAGTCTGATTTGCCATAATTGAAATAAAAACCGTACTTTAATAATTCCAGAGGGAAATTAAGTGTTGTACCTCATCATTCAAGGCAATAATAAAAACAATAGTTACAACAATGAATTTATATTAGTTCATATTCTTCAAAGAGTGCTTAAATATGATGACGGCTTTGGGCAGAAAAATTTCCTGCAGTGGTCTGTATTACAGCAGGTTAGAAAAAGCCTTCGACTGAAGATCCTTGTTACATGACAATGTCATGAACAAGATGCTCAGTGTTGTGCATGTATCTTTTTGACTTGATGAAGGATACATATTTGCACAATCATCTCTAGTCCCGAGAACAGAACAAGACTTTTTTTTAAATCAGACAGTTGAGCCTTTTTAGATCCCTGACTGATGCTACCCCAACAAGTGATGGTCCAAGAGATTATACTCTCCACAACAAATATGGAAAAAAGATATGCAGCATCTTGCTGCAAACCTTGAAGTACCTGAGCTTCCACACGAAGTAGAACCCAGTCTACTATGTCCCTTCTTGTAGATGGCTTCACTGTTGAGCTCCAGCCTTGACTGTTGTCCAGGCGGACACAGAGGTATTCAAATTTTTGACCCGCCTGCACTTTCCTCCCATGGACCAAATGGAGCTAGACCTATTCTGGTCTCTTCGTAAATCAATACTTTTCTTTGTTTTGTCCACATTCAAGATTAGGTGATTGTCCCCACCCAAACCATGCCACAAAGTGGTTCACCAGCTCTATATACACAGTTTCTTGACCATCGCTGATACTCCAGGCTGCAGAGTCGTCTGAGTATTTCTGCACATCACAGGTCTCTTATGAGATACTATCTCATTATTATGACTTAGTATAGCTAAGTCATAATAATGAGATAGTATCTCATTATTATTGATAGCATCTCATTATTATGATATAGCTAAATAATAATAATGAGATAGCTAAGTCATAATTATGAGATAATAATTTTTTTTATCTGAGTGGCAGGAATGGGCTTTCATAGATTTGTGCTGGAAGTCTGATGTGTACAGAATATAAGAGAATGGTGAGTGTCCCCTCTGGTTCTCCTGTGTTGCTGACCACCTAGTTAGACACACTACTCTTCTGTCTCACAAACTGATCAAAATGATAATAATGAGGTAAATAATTAACAACAATATTGAGGTACTTTGACTCTGTATTTATCCAAAAATCTACAGTAAAATTATGAAATCTTTATTCTGGAAATAGCAGAGGTGACCCTTTATCACAAATCAAAGAGAAATTGCTGTCACGATTTGGGAGAACTGAATTCCCGAAAATGACAGAAGTCAGATAATCTGGATTGGTATAATGAGGTACTTTGACTCTGGATTTTTATAATTCTCAATATAGTTTTCCTTCATTTTATGATCAACACCAGAAAAGAGAGCTACCGCTTTAAGAAGAAGGCAGCTGCCAGCCAATCAGAGAACTGCTTTTTACTAAAGAGCACGTTGACTCGTTACCACGGCAACAGCCTAGAAGGACTTAATGGCAATATGGTTTTCGTGACGCATAACTTTCGTTTTTCAGATAATTCGACGTGGTAAGACTTTGTTTTTTTGGTTTTGTTTAGTAAAATTGTTAAATAACGAACTTTGTTACAACAATTAGCTATTTTTAAAATATTATCTTATATTATTTAAAAACTAAAAGGCATTTATAACAAATTAAACATTGTAACTGAAGCTGTAACTTTAATATTGTAATTTTCTCCTCTTTATTGTAGAAAGTTTGTGATGTAAAATTACGGAAGCGTATTACCGTCAGTGCGGGGTAAAAAAAACTCAGGACCATTATCTCGTAATCACGAGAAATGTGCTCGTTAAAACGTGACATAAATATCGTTTTAACGACAACGTTTCTCGTTATTACAAGATACTTTCTTGTTAAAATTAGAAACTTTTCTAGAAATTAGAAATTCTCGTTAAAACGTGATTTATATCACGTTTTAACGAGATTTTTTTTCGAAATAATGTCTTCTATAACTTGTAATAATGACACGAATAATAACGGTAAAATGGCGACATCTCGCGGGATGTTTGAGTCTCGACAGGAAAAAATGGAGGGAGAAGAGATGGAGACTCCAATGGAACCACTTTTTGCCTTTTTAAGTCAGCGTAACTTGTCTGAGGAATGCATTTCTGCAATGAGGAGAGACAAAGTAGGTGACACATTTTAGACGCTTAGCTTACCTGAAATTAGAATCGATTTAACACAGTTCTATGTTACTGAATGTATCTGCAGTGTGGTACCGTCTACTGGTAATATTAACACCCCGTTTTAAATGACATTTACTTGTATTTTACTCATCTATGCCTAATGTGTTCATAACCTATGCTTGTTATAATGATTATTCATACGTTTATTCACTTTTTATTTTGTGGCACAACAGAGCAGTAACTTCAGAACATTATAAATTGCGAAAATCTATAAAAAATGTTTTTATGGATAAATGTAACATTTTAGTCTTCAGCTTCTCATATTTAGAAAAGGTAACTCCTGTCCAGTGTGTAGAAATGACAAAGCTCTAGAAGGAACACACACAGTAAAACAATATATTTATTGTTTCGCTCTTGGAGAATATATAATGTATCAAATTGCGCTATAAAGTTCAGCAAATATGTGTTTAGTTAAAACTGTTTATTTTGTTTAATTTTATTTAGAAATAATTTCAATTTTATTGTGATTATAGATTGATGTATCAGCTATTGCAAGCATGGATGATAACAGCTTGGCCACCTACATTCCCATCTATGGTGACAGGATTGCCACACGGAGATTTTGCTCAGAGTACCAAAGAAAAGGTGAGAGAGATGTGCAGCGACAGACACTGCTTCAAAAACTCAGAAGAAAGATGGGAATTGACAACTATCAAGAGGAGTCGGACCAAGAAGAATCATATTCAACTCGTAAACACCCTAAAGCCTATTTAAGGAATAACAAGCTGGCTGTGAGAAAGACATTTTATCAAGAGCATACTTTGGCTGTTGAATGATAAGCTTGTGTGCAATATTTAAAAATACAGCTTTCAAGTTTTCTCTTGTTGGAAATGATTTTGTACCCATACAGTCTAATAGGTCAATCAGTTTATCACGCTCATCACCAAGAGGATCATCCAGTAAAGCCTTGTTCACAAGATCCCTTTCTTCTGGACTGATGTAAAAGAGGAGTGATTCAAACAGTAAGTCAGGTGACACTGAGTGTTCACCAAAAACCAATGCCACTGTGAAAGCTGGAGTAAGACGGCAAGGAAAAAAAAAATAATAATAATAATTCATTGAACTTATATAGCGCTTTTCTAGACACCCAAAGACGCTTTCACACACTCTCACATTCACACACTGCTAGTGATGGTAAGCTACTTGTAGCCACAGCCGCCCTGGGGAGGTCTGACAGAGGTGAGGCTGCCATTTGGCGCCGTCGGCCCCTCTGACCACCACTAACAGAGGCAAGTTGGGTGAAGTGTCTTGCCCAAGGACACAACAGCAGGATACCCCTGGCGGGAGCTAGAATCAAGCCCATGACCCTCCGATCATGAGGCAACCCGCTCTACCACCTGAGCTACTGCTGCCACAATAATAGCCATGATCCTGAAAACCCTTAACAAGAATGCGTCCAACTGATTTCCATTCTTGCTCCTGCCACTTCGGTGTAAGTAATGGAACTCTCATGTCCTGCCCTTCAGCAAGACAATCCAAGAGCTCTGTCCAGAAAGCAGAATAGACATTTCTGGAAATGCCATCAGCATCTGCTCCCTTCTCATCTATGAAAGTAAATTTCAAAGGGTAGGTGAGCAAGTTGGGATCTTTGAACTGTGTGATTAGTTCATCCATATGCTTTGTCCTATGAAGCTTAATGCTGACATTAACAACTTCAAATCCAGACAGCTCAGTGTGCTTCGCTACTGAAGAACTGACATTAGGTGCAGGTAGCATAAATGTATGTGTAGGTTGCTCTGTTAGACTGGAAGTAGATGGCAGTGCATTGATTGTTAAAGGCTGACTGTTTGGATTTGCCAGGTTATGGGCAGATGCTGGTTGACCAAGAATCACAAAGTTTCCTTCATCATTTGACAGACTGGACAAAACAAATACTGGGCCCATATCAGGAGATGCAGGATTCTCAGTGGGAGTAGATGTAGATGGTGCAGAGTTGTTGGAGAGTGACTGATTTACAGGACTCACAAAGTTCAGGGAAGTTGATGGTAGATTAAAACTCACAGATTCCCCTTCATCATCTGATGAAAGGGGCAGAGTGTCAGCAAGTTGCCATGCCTGAGGTTCACCGGTGTAATGTCCTACCATAACCTCAGAGGAGTTAGATGACTCTGAGAAGTTGTTTTTTTTTTCTTCTGGTTCATCGTTCTCCACTCTTTCATCTGGCACATTGATGAGTTCTGTGATTGTCAGTTCTTTCCGTTCCTTTGCGCAAAGATAACATCTTAAAATTCCCATTTTCAGCAGGGAATAAAGTTCTCCGACTGTCATGTCTTCTTCTAAAATGCCATCCTCTTGATAATCTAAAATATTACAAGTGAAATCTTCCAGTTTTCTCTTTTTAGATTGTCCATTTGGAAAAAACAGCTCCTTTGTAATACTTAAAATATCAGATTTTTTTGCTTCTTTTGGCACATCCACTCTCCTCGTTCCTCCTCCATTTTTCTTGCGTTGTTGCTTTCCTTCATGTATCCATCCTAACTCAACCTTTCTTGTCTTTCTCACGGCCAGCTTGTTATTCCTTAAATAGGCTTTAGGGTGTTTACGAGTTGAATATGATTCTTCTTGGTCCGACTCCTCTTGATAGTTGTCAATTCCCATCTTTCTTCTGAGTTTTTGAAGCAGTGTCTGTCGCTGCACATCTCTCTCACCTTTTCTTTGGTACTCTGAGCAAAATCTCCGTGTGGCAATCCTGTCACCATAGATGGGAATGTAGGTGGCCAAGCTGTTATCATCCATGCTTGCAATAGCTGATACGTCAATCTATAATCACAATAAAATTGAAATGATTTCTAAATAAAATTAAACAAAATAAACAGTTTTAACTAAACACATATTTGCTGAACTTTATAGCGCAATTTGATACATTATATATTCTCCAAAAGCAAAACAATAAATATATTGTTTTACTGTGTGTGTTCCTTCTAGAGCTTTGTCATTTCTACACACTGGACAGGAGTTACCTTTTCTAAAAATGAGAAGCTGAAGACTAAAATGTTACATTTATCCATAAAAACATATTTTTTTTAGATTTTCGCAATTTATAATGTTCTGAAGTTACTGCTCTGTTGTGCCACACAATAAAAAGTGAATAAACGTATGAATAATCATTATAACAAGCATTGGTTATGAACACATTAGGCATAGATGAGTAAAATACAAGTAAATGTCATTTAAAACGGGGTGTTAATATTACCAGTAGACGGTACCACACTGCAGTTACATTCAGTAACATAGAACTGTGTTAAATCGATTCTAATTTCAGGTAAGCTAAGCGTCTAAAATGTGTCACCTACTTTGGTTAATATTACCAGTAGACGGTACCACACTGCAGATACGGAAATACATTCCTCAGACAAGTTATGCTGACTTAAAAAGGCAAAAAGTGGTTCCATTGGAGTCTCCATCTCTTCTCCCTCCGTTTCTTCCTGTCGAGACTCAAACATCCCGCGAGATGTCGCCGTTTTACCGTTATTATTCATGTCATTATTATAAGTTATAGAAGACGTTATTTCGAAAAGAATTCTTGTTAACACGTGATATAAATCAGGTTTTAACGAGAAAGTTTCTAATTTTAACAAGAAAGTATCTTGTAATGATGAGAAACGTTGTCGTTAAAACGATATTTATATCACGTTTTAACGAGAACATTTCTCGTGATTACGAGATAATGGTCCTGAGTTTTTTTTTTACCCCGCACTGACGGTAATACGCTTCCGTATAAAATACAGCAAATAGTAATAATTACCTATATATGTTTTTAATGTTTACGTTAACTCCGGCTTGACTCACAAAATGAACTGGCTCTTTCGGCTCTCAATTGCGGGTTCTACTTTTTTAAACTCTATGGTTAACAGGATGTTTTAGCCATAGATACAGTATATAAACATATATACGGTATATATATACAAAGTGTTTATTTACATATCTATGGTTTTAGCTAGGCTAGCTCCGGAAAAGCTCCATGGAGATCTGGAGCTAGAACGGCAAAAGAACGCGTTCATAAACCCGTTCACACACTCCAGGATGAACGCACTCACTTTTACGTTTGTCAGGCAAAATACAAACGAGTTCAGTTCACGTTAATGAAAAAAACGAACAAATTCACGAACGATCGTTACATGAACGCATTCGGGCACAACACTGCACATACATTATATAAAATGTTTATTATTTAAATAACCTACTAGTTGTGCAGCGCACCAGGCTAAAGACCAAAGGTGACAGATCATTTGCTGCTGTAGCCCCCAGACTCTGGAACTCTCTCCCCCTGAGCCTGAGATCAGTGGACTCAGGGGTCTCCTTTACAAAGCAGCTGAAAACTCACCTTTTCAGGCTGACTTTGGTGTGACCTTCACCCTCTCCTTATTCTGCTCTTTCTACCTACTCCACCTTTCCCTCTTTCATATTCATTTTCTCCCCCTCCCTTTCCTTAAAAATTTTAATCACAATTTTGATTTTTTGTCATTGAAACATTTTTAGATCATTGTTTGAAAAAGCTTTTTTATATTTAAAATTTCTTGTTTTTGTGAAGCACCTTTTATGTTATTTTAATCTTGAGAGGCAAAATATAAAAGAATGTTTTCTTTCTTCTTTTCTTTATTTTAATGAACATGAAGCAGAGATCCACAAAAACACATTTTAACTGACAGAACAAACTCTAAGTAAAATACTTATCAGCTTTGAACCACAGTATTAGAGCATGCTGGATACGATTTATCATTTGCATATTCCACACTTTGCCTTGGAAATGTCATTGTAGTAACAATGTGTCCAAATCCTGCTGCCTGTCCTGTTTTCACTCATGTCCTTACCCTTCTGTAGCGCTGTTTATTTTTCTTTCCTCCTCTTTTACAGATTTGTCCCCACTAATATTTACAGATCCCATCACGGTCATTGTCCCAGGAATATTGCATGCACCATCGGCCCAGAGGTACGCTTCACCCCCTCACACTCTGACCCACGCAATTGGAGGCACGCTCTGAGTGTGTGTGTGTGTGTGAGTGCACATTGGTGTGTGTACATTTTTGTCATTTGTTAGTGACTCGGGGTAGGATGGGGGGTGCTGTGTGTAACTCACTCCAGCTCCAAGAAGGAGCCGGCTCTAATCGGTCACTTCAAGGAGCCGGCTCTTAGGGCCATTTTGTTCATGACCGACACATCACTATATACTCATGGGAATTTAGTTTTTCAGCAACGTGTAGTCTTATTTACTTTCCTCCGTCAATACAACACAGTTTCTGTTACTGATAAGAAAATGCAGAGCGTTAGGATGTGTTGAAGCTGTCATCAGCTGATCGGGAGGTAAAGAGGTGAATGTTTATTATAGGGCGCCATTTGTGAAGTCAAAGAGTCATAATTTAATAGCAGTATTTTTATATATAAAAGTAACAATTTTGCTGAGAAACACACAGTAATAATTCATTATGCATTTTGTGCCAACCACAGCCACACAGGTGATGTGTTGAAAATGCCCAAGTCTATCCTTCCACTTGTGTATGTGTAGTGTCCAATACTGAGTGTGAAGGGCTACAGACCTGTCCCCAAAGACCCACAGAAGATGGAGGAAGCTTCTATGGCGGCTGTCTCCCTTACCATGTCTCCCTGGGGTTCCTTTGCTTTGGGGAGACCCTTGGATCTCTAGGGCTTGGAACTCCACCTTATCCGTCTTTGGGGGCAGGTCGGTTGCCCCTCACACTCACTATTGGACACTCCTATAGAGGAACCTTACATGTACAAGCGCATGTACACACACAGGTGTTCACATGGTGCTCTCACAAGTATGGACTTGGGCATTTTTGACGCATAACCTAATGCTGAGGTTGGCACTAAATGCACTATCAATTATTACTGTGTGCTTTTCAGCAACAATTGTTACTGTTCTAAAACCTCATGCTGTTGGAACTGATACTTAGGATCTCTTTTTCTTCAGGTCTAGAAGCAGATTCTTTACCCCCCCCCCCCCCCCCCCCTTCTTATTTCTGTCTCCGTTCGTTGGGATTTAAAACAACCAAATACATTTCTAATAAAGTTTAGACATCAAGCAGCGGATTATAGCTGAGTCAATAATGCTCCACCTACAGTATATGACAGTAAAACTGTAAGGCTTGTCTTTGGCACTCAGGCATTCATTTTGTTTGCTTTACAGCCATACAGGACACAGGAAGAAAAAAAGAAGAAGAATCTGTAGTTCTTGCCTGAGGAAAATAGCTAAAAGGATTGAAGTACAGAGTGAAAACAGAACCATGAACAGGTGTAGATCCGGAGAGCTAACAGGTGTTATCAACATCTTTTATGGAAGCAAAGAGCTGCAGTTTTTTCTGTTTATTCTGATCAGGAGGGTTCATTGTTACACCACACTGTAATGCATGATGCCTGTAGTGTGTCAGTCATTTAGGAGGGATTTGTTGGAAAGCTTGAATTTGTCAACAGCAGGTCATTCTGAATTTTAGTAACAGTATAAAATGCCTTTTTTTCTTGCGCTTTTTAATGCAGGTAATTTTGATCACTAAACACCTTCAGAATGAACACCTTTCAGGTTCAGAGGCAGACCTCCCTGCTTTGTACCGATAAGAAGGACAAGCCACAAAGAGTGAGAACATCTTGCCTTTTTTCAAAAAATATTGTTTTTAGAATTTAATTATCAAGTATAACAGAAAATAACTTAAGTATTGCACAGAATTTCAACTGGGTTTCCTGTGACCCATCTTTTGGAAATTTCTAAGAACCTTCTTCAAATGATTGCATTCCCTTATATTACCTTGGCTTCTGATAGGGAACAAAAATCAATACCTGACTACAGTGTTTCCTTACAGCCAGGGACATTTCCTTCTTCAGTAGTAACAGCCACGGCTTATTACTGATTTAAACTCATTGCATATTAAATAACAGTCACTTTCTCTGTGTGGCTGCAGATGACCCCATCAGTTTTCACTCAGGAGATGCTGCAGTCCTCTGAAGAACGCCTGGAAAACATCAGGGAGGTGCATCCACCTCATATCCTTGAGCATTTCAGCGCAAGCAGCAAAACACATCCCAAGGTAAATGGCAGCCAAAGTTGACATTCCTTAGAGATCTTTATAACTAACATGAAATGAGAAAAACTAGAAGACATGGTTACAGATGGCACAGTGAAAGTGGCACTGATGAGCAAGCTGTGGTAGTATAATAAAAAACGATTATGTGCTGGATACTGGGCAAAGCATCATAAATGACACGGTGCTTGGAATTGAAGTTGGTCGTTATAAAAATGACTTTATGCTTACTCAGGTACCGACTTTCATCTGTGGAAGAGAACAACTCAGGGGAGTCTGCTATAGATAAATACATCAAAGTAAACATTTAATAATTACAAGTGTGTGCTTTTACTTTGCACTCATAGTTCTGCATTCTAGTTTACTAATACAGGAGGCTTACGAGCGCAAGAAACTGAGATACACTGAACTTTCAGCTGGAGCACAACAACGTGGCTGGAAGACAAAGTTTCGGCCTTTCAGAAAGGCATGTTGAGGATTTGTAGCCTCCACAACATCAAGGCTGCTACGTGAGCTTGGCGTGCAGGGACATGGTCATTGACGGGCGATGAAGGACCTGTCCAGAGCTGCTGAAAGGGGCAGCCAGTGGTCTTAGCTGAAGAGAAAATACTATAGCTGGGCCTCAACTGGGTAGATGGCATCTTGGGGGTGAACCCGGGACAATGGGAGTCACTGCTGAACCCTTTGGAGATGTTGTGAGCTCATCAGTGAAATGTTGAGAAAGGAGGGCACCCACTTGAGAACTCAGGGAGATGCCTTCATTCAGTTGATTATCCCACAGTCAAAGCTGCAGGTTTTGTTTGCACTTAGGTATTGTGACCTCTAGTGACCTCTAGTCCTGAAACAAACATATTTATAGATTTTCAAAACGCATTTTCAGACAAATATAAGGAGTTATATGTACAGATCATGTGCTACTAACTAAATACATTACATTGTCCAGGTAGAAGAAGAAGAAACGATGATCGATGAGTATGTAGGTCATGAAACTAAAAACCTTTACCGTAGGGTGTCTTTTTCAAATAAAAAGATGATTGTTTTCAATGGAAATCTAAAGAAGTGATTTTCTACAAACCTTGTTTTCAAGGATGTATTTTTGGATTGAAAAAGTAGAGATGTTAGCTTAGCTCTGATTAAAGATGACATTTATTCTACGATGCAAACGTAGTAAATGACAATTTGCGATTTTTAACATTAAACAGGTCGTGTTATAAGTCCTGTTGCTCTCCTGCCTGCTGTGTTTTAGCTTCACATAGTGTGCGAATGTGTGTGTGCATAAGTGAATGACTAGCTAGTTGTAAAGCACCTTCAGGGGTTGTAGAACCATGAAGGTGCTGTATAAATATCCATTTATCATTTACAGATGAGTTTTCAGGTCTTCCCATCAGAACTGGTCTTCCAGAACTTCACTCCCTTCCAGACTTACACGTTGCCTCTGATTCTTCTCAACAAAGGCACGGTGCGTTACTGAAAAGGATCGCTGAGTCTTGTAAATAAATATCTTCTGACAAAACATCAATTATCACTCTAAAGAAAATACTGTTGACAGCTTGTTGTGTTTGGTTGTATGACTGGAAAAGTCATGATGAGAGAAATACAAACAGGAATGAATAAGCACCTGCTAGGATTTATGTTTATATCCATTTGGATTTTTGTTAGGTGCCACAGTCTGTCATGCTGGAGAAGCTGAATTCAAAGGTGTTCCATGTGGTGGGACCAGAAAACGGGAGTGGCAAAGTAGCATCAGGGCTGGCTGCCACTTTTACAGTTTCATTCACCCCACAGGAAAACAAGGTTTGACATTAGATCAGAGGTAGAATTAAAACAAAGCAAACAAGTACACACACACACACGCGCGCGTGCGCGTGTGTGTGTGTGTGTACTGATAGTAAAAGATTGAATGCATGTAGACTGAAGCACAAATTTCTGTTTAGCTTCAGGCTTCTTGAAGTTTGTAAGTTATTTACCAGTTGGGTTGTTTGTAGCATTCCTTGTTGTTCTCCATTCAGGACTACATTAGCAACCTGCAGTTTGAGACACAAAGAGAGCGGTTTGTGGTCCCAGTTCGAGCCATCGGGCCACGGGCTATTCTGGACTTTCGGGATGAGGTTTTGTTACCTGTCTGTCACGTGAAAGCCTCCACAGAGAAAACTCACAATGTGTATAACATCGGGAACAGCAGGGCCATGTTTGAGCTACGAACACAAAGGTGATGGTCTGATTTCTGTTGTGACTGAAGATCCTTTTTATTAGATTTAAGATAATAACTCAGTGACCCAGCAAATAAACTTCCATGTTAGCAATGCAATTCAATAATGAACCAATGTCATCAGAGTAACTCGTACATTATTCTATCAGTGAAGTCCCATATTACAGATAACAGCCATCCATTTATTCATGTTTTAAGCTCCTATCACTTGTGTCTGTTTCTACAACAACTGTTTGTTCCAGCCCGTTCTCAGTGACGCCCTCCTGTGGAACTCTTGATGTAGGTGAAAGCATGCAGGTGACCGTGTTTTTCCAGCCCATGACTGTAGGAAGCCACCAGGAAGACCTGGTTCTGCACTACCATACTGGTGAGCAAAATTCAGCTCAATATAATGCAACTGTTGGTGACTTTGGTCACAGCTTTATTACACAAAGTACTCTAGAGCCTGAGTATTTTCATGTTCTAACACATTTTTGTTGCAGTCTGTTCAACTTAATATGTTTGTTTTACCTTTAAGGCCTAATGTCAAATCAATAGATCACATTTAAATCGTTAGATTTTGTACAGCAGCTAAATGTTAAATTTGAAGAAATTATGTCTAATATTAGATGTTATATATTTTGTGTGAATCTGAGGCACACAGATGGAAGCAGGAGTTTTATTAAACCAACAACATGAGTGTGTTGAATCATTTTGTGTTTGAAGTAATCCCAGACACAATAACAAAATCCTCTGACTGCAGCAGCCATGTACCTTAATCTGACTCAGATTTTCATGAAGCTCTTTATTAATTTTTATTTTTATAAAATGCAAATCTTTATGCAATATCTTTCCCCTAGTTATCCTCAGTCTTCTGTACATGTCAGGTCAAAATGCATCCAAAGCTTCTTTCTAATTATGGAGCATAAAGACTTCAGCTTGAGAGGATAAAGTCTTAATGTTTTAATTTGCATTCACATTACAGCCATAAAACTGTAACGCAGCATTTTTTCTGCTGTTAGTCAAAGGAGGGGCAAAAGAGCACAGAGAAGTCCGCAGTGTCTCTATTATTAAACAAAAGCAGCCTTGTTTTTGGAGACTCTCTGATTCTGGTTTTGCACCCTGCTTTGCTGTGTCTGGCAGCACTGTGTGTGTGTGTGTGTGTGTGTGCGCCTCCTCACAGCAGTAGCTGATTTTACAGGACCATAGCGTTTGCAAAACGGGATTTGCCGCGGCTCTCTGGGAAGGATTTTGGCATTTATAGTAGCAAAGCTGAAGCTAGAATAAACGCCATCAGGCACCTCTCAAACAAGACGGGATAAAAGGAGGTCACTTCTGTCGGACAGGCCAGCACAGTGGGTTGGGCTAACTGGTTCAGCTCTTCAATGGATGAGATCTTATCTCACAAGATTGTTCTGTGTGAGCATGAGGGATTGTTCATCCACAGGCATTCTGCGGACATGGGGGGTGCCGCAGGGGTCAGTGCTAGTTCCCCTGTTTTCCATTTATATGCTTCTCTTGGGACTGCTTCAGCAGAATTATGGAATGGAGTTTCATCTATATGCTGATGACTGTCAAATATATATCTGCCAATCCAACAGGGGATGGGAGGCGAGATACAAATGCTAAAGGATTGTGTTGTGGAGATGTAATAGTGGATGGTGGCTAACTACCTCAGTCTGGATGGGAATAAGAGAGTTAATTGTGTTTACTCCTAGTGACCATCAGCAGCATGGTGCGAACCTTTCATTCCTGGCTCCATTTGAAGGGACAGTGGTCACGGATCTGGGGGTGAAACTGGATGCAGATTCTAAAGTTGGATGTTCAAATAAATGCAATTGCCAGGTCCAGCTTTTTACAGCTGCAGTCACGGATATTATGCTGTTACTTTCCAAGAAGGATTTGGCGATAATCATAAAAATATTTGTTCTGTCGAGAGTGGACTTTTGTATTGCCCTATATGCCTGGCTGGGTCATTCAACGCTGTTGTGGCTGCAATTAGTGGAGAATGCTGCTGCCAGATTTATTTGTGGCATCAAGAAAAAGGAACACAGCACTCCAGTGCTGGCCTCCTTGAAATGGCTTCCTGCCCAGTACAGGATTTAGATACGACTACTAGTCCATGCAAGCCCGAAGGACAACAGATATCTATAACAAAGTTTGTATTTGTTGATTTTTTTGCAAATAAAGGTTGAGAAAAATTTTCAATAACAACAAAGCAGTATCCCGGTCTTCTGAGGTTTTGGACTCAAAGGTCCAATGTGTTGTGTAAAAACTACAGTTTTTAGCCTATTTTTTAGCTCCCATATATTGCTAGCACACGTACGGTGTGAGCAGTCAGGTCCCAATACAGCATTGGGTCATACAGTCTGGAAACATGACTCGTGAGCTTCGCTCCATGAGGAAGTCATGCAGTTTGAGATAAAGCTGAACACTATGAGCGGAAAAGTCGCACAGTGCACCTCCAGCTTAAGAAAGTGTGCCCTTTCTGAGATGTTCTATACTGGAATTCTATCACTTTTAAATAGGTCTTTATAGTGTAATTCAATAGGAGCTATCTAAGAAAACGTAGAAGTTTTCTACAGGTTTGAGCTCCGTCACCTCTAATTTAAATGTAAACAAACAATCTCAATTTACATTTATGTCGGCGGGTTCATACAAAAGCTCAGTTTTGCATCTTATTTTTGTTTCTTAGATTTACTGTTGAAATGAGAGGGCTGTGGTGGTCATTTAGTATTGCTACTAATCCCATAGAGCTCCGGACGTCACGTGACTCTCAGAGAGTAGATGCCATGTTGGCAGCAACAAAGGTAAACAAAATGAACGGGATCGGCTTGGATTTTACTCCGTCGGAGTTTACTTCACACTTTAAAACCGAAGAAATCCTTTTATATAGTCAGAAATGAAATAGACTAAACATCTCAGACCCTTACCGTGCCCCTGTAATACTTTTTAAAACGCCAGAAGCTGTCGGAGCGGACCTCTTACCGGATTTGAGATACCCTGACATTTATAATTTCCTTGTTAATTTTCCCTCGTCCTACTCCGGAGCATCGCTAAGAGCATATAAAAGCCTGGAGGGATACAAATGGACTCAATCAAGGTTTGTTGTCGGTATCCAGATCTGGATTCTTCCTGTAAAGGACAGCACTGTTGTCACCGGGAGGGTAAATGGAGATTTTTGTTACCATTAGCAACAGCAAGGTTATGTCTGTGTGAAATATCGTGTGCTTTTTATGTGTGATCTGACAATTGATCAACCATTGCTTAAAAATGAAATACAGCTTAGTCAGTTAATTGCTGTGATCATAAGACACGTAAACGGCAGCACGCAGAACTCATGAGGCAACGTTTTACGTGATGTTTACTTGCTGCTATGAGTAATAAGACAGAAAAAGCCACGCCAAAATAAGTTAAGGAAGCCCACTAAGAATAGTAATAAAAGCATTTAAAATAAATACCATACACAGTTGAGGAAACATTGGTTGAAGTACCTGATATGAAGTGGTCGCTGCATAAGCGAAAACCTTTACTTTCGGGATCCCACAGCTTCATTTTAGCCTGGAGGCTAGCACGTTTCATTGCGATGATCCAACGTTTGCGGTGTTCCGGATCTTGGGGAATCCTGTAGATGGCTCTTCCCTTATCTCGTCCGCGTCTGTTCTGCATCCTGGGGCACAACAGGAATCTACCATATTTCCCATTTGATTGAGTTTTCTGACAATAACAAATAGCCTAGCTGCGGGCTACTGCCTGCCAAGATGGCACCGTTCGATTTGAACTGTTGCATGCCGGGAGAAGTAACGTCAACTCCTGGAGCTCTATAGACAGAATCACTGAGCAGTGTCCGATAATTTGAGGTGTTTGCTGAAGGCGGTCACATCCAACTTCAGTCCTAAATATTTCATTCCAAAATCTTCATGATTCAACAGGTTTTCAGCATCAAATAAATATAAGTTGTTTTGCATGCAGATTTTCCAGGTAGTGTCCTTTGTGCATAATTTAATATGAATTAATAATTTTTTTGTGCTGCAGTAAATGTACAAAAGCTCTGCCTCAAGAATTATGAATAACATCTTAACAGTAGCGTATGCCGACTCGAGTTATTTGATTTGTGTTGTAACTTGTAAAAGTCTCTTTTTCTGTCTCATAAGTTCATGTTTAAAAGACACCTCCGACCTGCTGGCCCGACCCATAAACAAATGCTAATTATTTACACAGATTCTTCACATCTTCTGTTCAGGTGAAGATGTTTACATCAGCTTGTCAGGGACTTGTGTGGAGCTTGACCTTCGTTTTGAGTCGGACATTGTAGAGCTGAAGAAGACTTATATCGGCCTGGCTAACACTCACACAGCGTGTCTCGTCAATAAGAACCACTTTCCTCTTCGGTTTCGTTGGACAGTTTGGCCCAGCCAGCAAGATGAAGATCTGGGCTCATTCAGGTTTGAATTACAGATGTCAGGAATGCAGAACAACCGTCTTTCTCTCTTTCAGATAAGATTCTTGCATTTCCTTCTTTTTTTAATGAAGCAGAGCATTTGTTGGCAGAACTATCTCAGGCGTTCATTGCATTTCTGACCGTGCCTTCTCCTCCTCAGTGCTTTTTTTCTTTGTCCTGATGATTCACACAATGTTTTACTTTTCACCTTCTCTCTCTGCTGTCCTCTCTAGGGAGAGCTCAATACTGCAGCGAGGGGACAAGGAGGAGGAGGCACCTCTTCCATATGAGTCCAACCCCACAGCGATCCATCACCTCCCGTTGCTGTCCAGATCCCTGCAGGACCACTTCCCAATCCTCTCTCTCGGTTGCATGAGCCTGGAGCCAATGGTGTGTTGGTGTCCTGACAAACTAATTGTTTTCACCTTAGCTCAAAGTTTTCCTTTCTTTTTTGTCCATTTAATATCTCTGCTTATTTAATCTTTAGTTATGTCAAGAACCAGAATCAGCAGAACGTCCAAAAGGAAAAGGTGCTTGCTTTATGAACAGACAGTATCTTACCTGCAGTAGAGAGTGATCTCAATTGGAAGATTCGGGCAGAAATTCACTCGGGATGTTTGGCTAAAGGTCACACCTCACATGAACATGGGGTTTCAGCATAAAATAACTATTTATCACTGAATGTGGACACTAGCTGGAACAGGAGATGGTTTGTACTTTAGTTGTCCAAAAGTATCTTTTTAATAACATAAGCAATGATTGGATAACACTAAATCAAAGGAGAAAAGTGTTAATTTTTAGCATTTGCACAAACTGCTATTTGCTTCACTCATCTTATTTTAGTTGTAGTCTTGGATTTTCTCTTTTGAGTAGCTGTTAGCTTGACCCCCGACTGCTGTCTACCACTCATAACTTTGCAAGCATTACTTCAGAATAACCTGAATTTCCCTTTCTAACATGGGGGACATTTAGATATACTGTACCTCATGTGTTGTCATCAATGCTGCATAGTGACAGAACTCTTAGTAACATAATAAAAGATGAAACCTAGTTCCACTCTGGTGCCAGGAGGCCACAGAGTGTGTCCTCTCTGCTGGGGGACCCTCAGGTAGTCTGACCCTTTCTGGCATCACCACCCCTCCCTTCTCCGCCAGCATCCTCTCTGCTCCACTTAGGCAGGAGACTGGAGAAATTTTAAAGTTTTGGAAAGGTCAAACACTCTGTAGACTAGACACAAGACAGCGGCCTACTCATGTACACCTCCCCACTCCTTTCTCGATAGTCATGTTGTTCTCTCCTTTACGCATCTACATTTAACACCATTAAACATCTCGTTTCTCCTCAGGAGGGGGAGATATATCCAAAAACCACAGCACAGTTCCACATTGTGTTCAAGCCCAAGGAGGCCAGACTTTACCAACACACCATCTACTGTGACATCACTGGTGAGTTTTGTTTAGGATTTTCCTTGAGTCATTTTAACTATTTATGCCTTTATTTGTTATTCATCTATTAATCCAATTTCCCTTTGGCAGATCTTACCCCTCACACACCTGCTCATTTTTCTGTCAATCGATTATTTTAGACTTTTCCTTACTTTAGTTTATTCTGGCAAACACTCAAATGACTTCCATTTTCAAACCCCATCGGCATAATTTCTTTGGACTCTTTCAGTTTTTAAGGCTAACACGGGATCCAGTGTAAAACTTTGTCAGCCTTAGTTTGGGTCCACATCCCATCACTTCATAACACTAAAACCAGGAGCAAAACTACCCCAGATACTGAACTTTTGTTTTTATGACTTTCTCGTTTCTTTCTGTATTGAACATGTAACTCAATAGACAAATTAAAGTATTCAAAAAGTATTCTTACATATACATATGTATATATATATGTGTGTGTGTGTGTAGAACATGTTCAATAGGAATGGAAAGAAGCTCTGGTAGCTTATATAATCCCCACCCCCATCAAATTTCAAGGAAGATAAAACAAAAAAAATATTTTCCTACACTGAGTGTCATAGCCATTTTCTTATGTTTTATCCTCAATCACACAAACAAAATTTACATTTTTTATGCCCCCCCCCCCCCTCCAATATTCACAGCTCCCAGTTCACCAACAATAGACAATTACAATAAAATGCAACACCCTTACAACTTTTCCTTATGTTTTTACTTTCCCCATCTCTTTGGTTTTCTTATGAAGTATTCTCTCTCCCTCCTGAGAGTTTCTTTGGACAAACACTAAACACATCTTAGTTTGGGAAAGTATGTTTCCTTATAAGCAGCTCCTCGTGTTTGGTTCAGTTTTACTCTCCTTTTGAAAGTTTGAAATCCTCAAAGTCCTTTGAGCACAAATAGACAAAATTCATTTGAAAAATACTAATCTGACGGGTGGACTCATCCATATTAAGAATTCTTAAGAACAAATCAATTTTATTCACACGTCGCCAATCTTTTAGCAAAGGGTTTAAAGTCAACAATTCAGGCTGATCATTCAGTTGAAGGCAGATAGTTACCTCATCATAAAGGTGGAGAAAGGCCGTTGGCAACTTTGCATGCAGCCTCCAAGTGTGTCTTTTATACTGTAGGTGAGATTTAGTTTCCTTCGAAAGCAGGTGAGAATCTGATCAAGTACTATAACTTTAATCATCTGAGGTGCAGGACCCTGGTTCCTGTTCTGCAAAGCTTGAGATGCTAAGGCTCGAATTTTAACCCTAAAGAGAAAAACAAAAATAAGCTGTTCATAAGAACCCTCACATTTTGTATTTGAACTGTTTGATAAGCAAATGATTTCAACTTGCCTGCAAAATAAATGATCATTTTCTACTTTTCTAGTTTTATTTTCTCAAAGATCCAAAAGATCTTTTGTTTTCTTTTGCGTGTAATTTTCCGTCTTTATCTGTTCATTAGGTCATGAATCCCGGTTACCTCTCATAATTTCGGGCGAAGGCCTGGGACCTAAACTCCAGCTGAACTACAATCTAATGGATATAAAAAATGTATTTATAGGTGACAAAAACCGATACGAGGTAAGAATTAAAGTTAGCTGCTGAGCTGCATTAGTTTGTTTAAATGCTAATATTAGGCTAGTGAGTTCCTTTTTAGGGCACACGCTCTAAATCTGTTTAGATCTCAAATCCTAATACTGTCTGTCTATCTGTGTAATAATAAAGAAATTATTTGATTAACAATAATAATGCTCATATTAGAAATTTATATTTCTCCTTCTTTTTACTTAGGTTCAGATCTCCAACAAAGGGCTGATTGATGCTCCTTTCAGGTTTTCCAGCTCTGACACCACGTTTGGTCATTATTTCTCCATCAGACCCACAGAGGGTGTCGTTCCCCCTGAGGCCCATCAGATTGTGGAAGTGACTTTTAAGAGTCACACATTGGGACCTTTTTCTGAAGACTTACTGCTTACTGTCACAGGACAGCCTCAGCCTCTCACCCTGACCTTCAGGTGAAGCTGAAGATGTTTCTACACAAACTAACACAGATTTTTAAAAATTAAGCAGTGTTTCAAATGAAAGACAATAGTTTTTCCTTTCAGTCACACCCACAGTACCTATTTTACAAATATCTTTTAATCCTGTATCTAATTTTTATCAGGGGTTGTGTCATCTGTCCAACATTCAACTTTGACGTTTGGGACCTAGAGTTTGGAGATGTTGCCTTTGGTGAGACACTAATTTTATTTTATGTTGCTACACCAGTCATCCTTATGAAGATCACTATATCAAACTCTTTTTTCCCCTGTGCTCCTGTGTTTTTCTGTAGGGTTCCCATCTACGCTGACCTGCACCCTCTTCAACACATCCTTTGTGCCTATAAACTTTGTTCTGCGTGTCCTTGGGGACGGATTAGGGTCTCCCAGTGTTAGTGGTTTCAGACAGGTGTCTGATTTGTCCTTGAAGAGCTGGCAGGGGCATACAGCTCAAGGCGTTCATGAGCGTCCTGTGGAGTTCACCGTCAGCCCTGCAGCTGGCTCAGTGAGCGCCATGTCTGACATCACCATTAAGGTACAATTAAGGAGCAACATGTAATAAAACACAGCTGTGTTATGGAACTGGTTTTTAACTTTATGAGACATTTTTTCATTTTGTTCAACAATAACACAATAATTCAGCCTAATGTTATACTCCTCAAATGCTATTATTATTATTATTATTATTATTATTGTTATTATTATTATGTTTTATTACTTTTGACAAATCTTGTAAATATAGTGAAATATTCTGTCCTTGAATCTTAAGAGAACTACAAAAAATAAGCATGCCATAGCCAGAAGATTTACATTTATTTCATCAACTGAATGAAAAATAATAATCATAAACTCTGTTGTAGGGAGCCTAATGGGCTCGACACACGGGAGGCGACATCACCTCTCCTCCTCCATTCATTTTCAATGAGACATGCGCGACAAAGCGATAATCGCGGGTCTCCCCCCTACTTAGCGAAACGCGAAAAAAGTGCGTGTGAAATTTTGCACTCGTGCACGTGTTGCTCACAGGCGACCCAGTGACGCGATCCCAGAAAGTTGAAATATTTTCAACTTTTCATCGCTGTCGCTGGGACGAGGACCAATCAACGGAGGTTTCATTCACTGACCAATGAGCGGATAGGATGCTCCGAGCTAACATGGAGGCGAAGTTAATATTTGCAGTGACAGATTTCCCAGAACTGTACAATATTTCAACCAAAGAATATAGATATTCACAAAAAGGCAGCAGCTTGGGAAATTGTTGGTGACTATTATTAGTATATGCTGGTGCCTTGCTTGTGTGACAGTGTGAGCGTCCTGTCACAATGTCCCGATTGATCATGCGCCCTGGCTACTTGGCCAAGGGGATGTCCCTTTGGCTGACTGGTTAGAGCGTATGACTCTCACCCGGGAGTCTGGGGATCGAATCCCGCCCGGGCCCTTGTTTATTCACCTTGCCACACTTGCACAAGCCTGCTGCCAGGCTGGAAGCAGACACCAGCCTCCACAACCATGGTCCCGTTCACCTTCTCCGCCGCAGCCGGCACCTCTTTGCCCTGCGCCTTCTGCACCAGAGCCGCATAACTAGCAGCACCTTTTGAAACATCATATCTAACGCTTTTTTAACTCTGAACCACTTAAATAACCTTAATTCCCTCCAACCTGACACAGCCAATCAAAACAACGAAAGACTCAATTTCGCCATGGAACAGAACGCGTTGACGGCTTTGCTGCTGGCCGCTGCCACGGGTCGCCTCCCGTGTGTCAGGTAATAAAAGCGACAGCGACGAATTTCGCTGATCGCAGTCGTTTGTTGCCTGCCGTGTGTCGAGCCCATAAGTCACGCCCATCCACTTCAGGACCATGGGTCCCCCGGAAGATAAAAAAAAAATGAATGCAAGTCTATTTTCTAATGCTGCATGTTTTGTGCCATGGATTTCACATATTTATTTATTTATTTAACATGTTTTTCAGGAGGATAAACTGCTTGAGATGTAACATCTTGTTTTCGAGCAGGTCCTCCTTCAACACAAGCAATAAATAATAAGATGGCAGAGTTAATTGATTACAATAGACTTGAAATAAAAAGTAATATAACAATAACAAATAAAAAATAACATTAAAAAAATAAATGCTGTTCCACAGAAGCATTGTTATAAAAATTTATAAATAATAAAAGTGCTGTGAGTCACTCCAAGCAAAATAAGGGCATTACGCTAACATCATATATAAATGTGAAGTAAACTTACATCCAGATTAAGTGACAATAATTAACAGCGTTGCAGCAAACAAATACACATATTCATCATTACACAGTTGAAGCAAAGCAGTCACAAACTGGCTTCACATAAACATAAACAGTGTGACTAAATTGACCAAGTGATGAAATGGACCTTAATTCAGTGGGTAACATGTTCCATTCCTGAGGAGCTTTAATGCGAAAGTTGAATCTCCCCACCTCCTTTTTAAACAGAGAAACAACAAATGATGGATGATCAGTTAGATGGATGGAATACAAAGAATCAATTGGAACCAACTAAACTTTCAGATAAGATGGAAAATCAAAATAAATACATTAAAAATTAAATATCATCCAATGAAATTGACTTCTAAGGACAGCCAAGCAAGAAGTTCATACATACAACAGTGATGAGTTTTGAAAAGACACCGTAAAGCAAAATGACATAAGCTATTGTAGACAACATCAAGGGACCACAGCCAGGCTAGCAACCATAGAATTCTGATACAATATATCTTCATAATCAATAATCGACAGCAGAAGCTGAGTGACAATCGCTTAAGTACTATTGGTTCTAAACTGTTTATTGAATTATATAGGATTCTTAACCCTTCTACTGTCTTATCAGGTGACCCCAGCCAGGAAAGTTGACCATTGAGCAGGGTTGATGGTTTATCCATTAAGGTCCACATGGCAGGGGGTGAGGAGTGAGCACAACCTCACCCCTGCCACGTGGACCTCAAGAGATACACCATCAATCCTGCTCAATGGTCAACTTTCCTAGCGGAGTCACCCAATAAGACAGTGGAAGGGTTAAGCACTGTGTGACCTTATGGCATGTCATGTGAATATGATATTTAAAACACAGTTCTGGCTCCAGCCAAATACCTAAATATTTTAATTTAACAGAACAATGTACTGAAGTGAAATCCAAAAATCGCAGATTACGAGTCCCATCAATACCAGAGTAAACACTGCTTCTGTGGAACAGCATGGAATAAGTTTTTGATTTATTTGCAAGAAGTTTGTTCTGAGCTAGCCAGAGCTACTGGCATTTTGTACCTTTGACAAAATTACGTTAAAGAGCATCATGTATCTCATATTTACTTGGCTTAGAACAGTATAAGACTGTGTCATCTGCGTACAACTGAACAGAATAGGAGCTACAACACCTTGGTAAATCATTAATGAAAATTGAAAATAATAATGATCCAAGTGAAGAACCTTGGGGAACACCTCTAATGTCTCCTCACGTGTTGGACTCAGAACCATCAAAAGAAATGAATTGAGAGTGATAATGAAGATAAGAATTAAACCACAATAGAGACAGCCTTGATAGACCAATGGCATATCATTTATCTAAAAGTAGATAATGGTCGACATGATCAAAGGCTTTTGTTAAGTCAAGAAAAATAGCGCCATCAATTAAATCATTATCAAAACCAGAGTAGATGTCATTAGTGAGTTTAAACAAAGCAGTTGTTGTAGAAAAGATTTTTCTAAATCCCGATTGGTACTGAGATAATAAATTGTTGTCCTCTAGATAATTAGTTGGTTAATAACCATTTTTTCAAATGTTTTAACAACTATGTTAATTATTGCAAAAGGCCTGTAATTATTAAGTTCTGATGTATCACGTCCTTTATGCAGTGGTATTATCTTAGTGCATTGCCTAGCCTTAGGAACAGAACATGAGTTGATGGAATGATTAAAAAGAATTGATAATGGAAAAGCGAGAATATCAGCAGCCATTCTAGCAAATCAACCCTCTATACCATCTGGACCAGCAGTATTCCCTCTAGAGCAGTGGTTCCCAAACTTATTTAGCCGCGCACCCCCTTCTATGTCCCGACCATGTTGACCCCCCCCCCCCCCCCCCCCCCCACACACACACACACATCAGGGCATGGCTATATATATATATATATATATATATATATATATATCAGACGTCAAGCTAAACAGACAGGGTTAAAAAATATGATCGACCTTTTTCCCCATCACTTTCATTTTTTAAATAGTAATTAATAAGCATTCGATTCCATTACAATTTCCTTTGATTTAATTTTAAATAAATATTTAGAGTGCCCAGGTAGCACATAAAAAATGCAATTTAACGTTTTTCTTAAAGTAGGAACGTTTAACCTGTGCGGCCAGAGCGCTCTCCTTCCTTCTGCTCTGCGTAAACCTGAGCTGGCCACCAACTTGTGCGTAATCAAATGTCTATAGGGGAAAAGGAAAAAGCTGTAGCCATGAGGTTCACTTTTGCCTCAGACCGACTTATTGCTGTTTTATGGTGTGGCTGAATCTGCGATCCACTGACATGCGGACTGGAATAACAAATGCTGCAGTAACATGAGTTCAGGATCGGAGTCACTGGCTGGAGCAGACCCGACTTTAATACGTCATCCCAAAATAGAAGCTAATATCTTAATCTGACCTGGAATGAAAAATGTTATAAAACCTCTTAAAAGTTTTTATCACAGAGGAGGCAGAGCTCATTTCTGTCTTCAGTCTGACGGCGCGCCGCAGTTTGCGCAGCGTGCGCGCTTATTGAATCTGTGTGTGTGTGTCTGACCTCTGACAGACGTACTCTGAACTTCAGATCTTCAGCGTGTGTGAGGTTTACAATGTCAGAACACCTGCATGAGACAGGGTGTTAATTACAATCTGCCAGAATGACTCACCACCTTCAAACTTCTCCAACACCGTTAAAAATGATAATACGGAACATATCGGCGTGCGCAGGCCAGAGTGCTGAAGCTCGGCGCATTGTTATTATGAAGTTAGGGCACATGTGGAGGACACACACACACACACACACACACACACAAGCAAAATATACTTGTTTTCAATTAATTTTATTGGGCCCACTTACTTTTTCTTAGGCCCACCCACAAATGAGTTTCTGGCTACGCTAATGGTGACATATGACAGACTTCTCTGAGCTCTGCAGCCATTACACTTTTCACCTCGCGCACCCCCTAGCGGCAGCTCGCGCACCCCCGGGGGTGCGCGCACCACACTTTGGGAATCCCTGCTCTAGAGAGAACCTGTATAACTTCAAACACTTTGTCTGGATGAATTTCAGAAAAGGAAAATCAACTAGAGCAACATTGAGGCATGGTGTAAGAACCCATAGGGACTGCAGAGGCAAAGTGCCTCGTGCTTTTTATGTTCTTCTTCTTCAAGGAGAGGAGAAAAAGCAAAGTGCTTACTGAATGCTTCAACAGTTTCAGACGGATCATTAGTAAGACTACCATTAACATTCATGTGAAATTTTAGCCTTAGTTTTCCCCCTCAAGTTATTAACTTTATTCCAGAAGTGTTTAGGATTATTAGCCTTACATAAGCAATTCTTATAAAAAAACAACAACTTTAGCATTCCTAGTTTGGGTGGTACAGAAATTTCTTAATTTTCTATAATCCGTCCAATGTTCAGGAAGATTACTGAGTTGGTGGTGGTCAGAAGGGCCGACAGCGCCAAATGATAGCCTCGCCTCTGTCAGACCGCCCCAGGGCGGCTGTGGCTACGTAGTAGCTTACCATCAGTGGCAGTGTGTCAATTGGGCCATTCCCATCTGTACCGGGTCGGCCCAGGCCGGGTAGCCCCAGTCGGCCCCAGCCTGGCCCGGTTGATTCCACACATCCTTGCCTTAAGCCCATTTGGGCTGATTCTACCCACCAATCAGAGGCTTGCTCTAATGGAAGGTGTGAATTTGCTGTCAGCAGTAGGTGTGTTGGCCCTGGTCGGCCTGAAGCAGACCCCCTCGAGAAGAGGGCTGAGAATGAGCCTTGGTTGGCCCGGAAAAATACCAGGCCACCCAGATATGTAAACAACCTACGCTACCCGGCCCGGGCCAACCCGGTACAGATGGGAATGGCCCAAATGTAAGCGTTCACGCAAGCATCTAATATAAAAATGCATCACATAATAATGTGCTTATTTCCATAGAAATACATTATAGTTAAGATGGCTTCGAAGTGCAGTGGTTTGACTGTGGGAACACTGACTTGAGAAGTCAGACTGAGACATAGGTGGCAACCCCGCCACCCCTGGTCCCTCTATCCATACGAAATAAAGCAAAGTTATCAAACCATATATCTTTGTCAGAAATGTTTTCATTCAACCATGTTTCTATGATGTCCGTGAATATTAAAGACACATTCTGATACCAAGAAAGCGCTTATTTTCAAACAGGGGTAAAAATTATTTTAGGTTTTGTACAGAAACAAGTCCAGGACTACAAATGCGCTTCACGAAAGTGGCATCATCGAAGCAGACACAGAGAGAAACTGAGGGAAATTGGCTGTAAGTTTAGCGAACATCAAATCCTTCCTTCAGGAGATAAAAAAACCACCATAAATCTGGCCATGTGGTAAGTAGCAGCTATGCTGGGGAGAAGAGATTCTGTGGTGACGTTGTATATATTTTACATGCCAATGTCTAATTTGTTGTCGTGTTAATTACAAACTTTTACAAGCTGATAAATCACAAAGTATGTGACTGACATGATTGAAACGCCCATCATTAGTTTTCATTTAAATTGCAGTACAACACATGTGCGATCCAGGACATAAGACAAAGCGGATTAGAAAGTAGCTCTTTTAGCCCCATTGACTTCATTCATTCTTTCGTTCTTCCGGGGACCCATGAGCTGACCGGAAAGGGAGGAGATTTAGGTTCCCTATACGGAAGAGGATAAGGGCCGTTGAAAAGAAAGAAAAGAAAAGAAAGAGAATTCAGTCTTTTTTCTCAGAATTCTGACTTTAATAAATCTGAGGAAAAAGTCAGTATTCTCTTTCTTCTCAATTTTTTTTTCAGTTGCCCTAATCTCGTCAGTAGACTTGAGTATAACGATATAAACCTAAAATCAGTTTAAACGTCTGCATTTGGTAAGAACAAATGTACTCTATAAATAAAGCTGCCTTTCCTTGCCTCATTAACGGAATTATCTCTTCCTCTAATTCAAAGAGACTGGTGGTCAAGAAGAAATGAAGAGAGACTGCAAAAGTTGCTTACCAATGAGTCAGTTTTCCAGTTTTTAGCCAAAACAGATATAATTCCATATTTATACTCCAACGTCTAACGTAGATTATATAAAACACTCCATCCTCTTCTAACAAACCCATTGAACAACAATTATATCCAAGTAAACTGAGTAACTATAGTTACTTTACTGAATCTTTACTCTTTGTGACCAACAGGTGACTCTGTGCTCCAACACAGTTAAGACTTACTGGGTGGCAATGGTAGTGGATGTGGAAGGTGTCGGAGAGCATATAAGGACTCTGCCCATTAATGCCAGGTTGGACACGCACACACACGCACACACGCATACACACACACACACACACACACACACACACACACACACACACACACACACACACACACACACACACACACACACACACCAATCAGAAGTAGCAAGTCAGCATATTTTCTTTAAACTATGTAGAAGATAAACCTAACAATTAGTCCCTGCTAGACAAATATTGATTTCCAATTCAACAAAGCAAAACCAATCTAAAAAAAAAAACAACAAAATGAAACAAACAGCTAGATATGTAATTATTTTTTTTAAATAATTTTTCTATCATCATAAGGAGTCTTTAGGTTGCACTTTGTCTGATGATCAGTCACCTTTGGGCGACCCTACCAGCTGTTTTCTTGTTTATGATTTCCTGCAGACATTCTCCAATTAGCTACTGATTAATTATTCTCTATTGTCTGCCTTTGATCCCATTTATCACGTTTTCATTAATCTCATATCCAGTGTTGGGAAAGTTACTTTAAAAAAGTAATTAGTTATAGTTACTAATTACTTTGTCAAAAAAGTAACTCAGTTACTAACTGAGTTACGAGATTATAAAAGTAACTAATTACCAAGAAAAATAACTACTTAGTTACTTTTGTCATTAAAGAATGCAATAAAAATGGGTTAATTGAATTTACTTAATTTACTATAAAATGACTACAATAGTGAAATATAAATAACTAATGACTGGAACATAATAAAATGTATGACCTAATGTTTTTTATAAACCTGAATAATTTAAATAAATAAGCACTTAACAGGAGGATCTACTAACAGGAACATTACACTTATCTAGACTATTAAAAGGTCACTGTGTGATATTTAACAAGACCCCAATCAGCTAAAATTTAAAATTGCAAATAGAAACACCTGTGAAGGTTCTTGAGCCTTTAAATGATCTCCCAGTCTAGTTAAATTACAGAAATGAATGTAATTTTGCACAGTATTTTAATTTTTTCAGTTTTGCATAATTGTGTGTTTTTAGTAGCATTTCTGTTGCTGGTAATCTAGTAATGGTTAAATAAATAAATGAATAAAATCCTTTAAAATGACACTAGAAGAGGCAAAAGCCTGATGGAGGACTCACATTTACTAACTTGGGTCAGACCCAACCACAGAAGAGCTGAAGCTGGGTGGTAAACACACACAGGTAGTTCTAATAACTTCTGAGCTCCATGACGTCTGAGACTGATGCATCAGTGTTACAGCGGGACTAAAGACATGATCAGAAACAGGTTACAGCTGGATGATCTAGGAAGGTAGAAGATCAGGACGTCTGAGCGGTGAACAGGTGAGCGGACCTTCGGGACGTCCCGCTGTCACGCTAAGAAGGGCACGGCTGCAGATCCACACCTGCAGCCGTAGACTATTCATCACGTCTTCCTCGTTCTTCACGGGTCGTGATGCACTTGGATGAAAACATCTGCCTCTTTAGGTCCTGATCAGCTGATGACAGCTTCAACACACCGCACTGCTTAACGCACGCTTTTTCTTATAAATAACAGAAACGACGTTTTGTTAAAAGAAGACAATAATTAATTAGTTTGCTCATTACTGAAAGAAATATTTTTTTAGTGACGCGGTTATTTTAAACGACATTATTCCCATCACTGCTCTGTTGTGTCTACAGCAGGCAGTGACTGAGACAGTGAGGGTCTCCGCCCACCCGGCCAATCATCATCGTGTTTGTAAGTGCGTTACCGACACCTCTCTCTCCCTGGCTGCAGCTGAAGTGTGGCGGTCAGAAAGCCTCACACTGTTGCTCAACGTTCGACAAGCACATAGTAACGCACAACCTTCCATCCCCAGTAACGGTAACGGCTTTGCAACAGTGGGAAAAGTAATTAATTAGATTATTCCGTTACCCCAAAAAAAGAACGCCGTTAGTAACGCCGTTATTTTAAACTGCGTTATTCCCATCACTGCTCATATCCTACCTCATAAGTCAGAGCTGCACCCCCCTCAGAACACACACAGCCAGAGGAGAAAAACGGGGCTGCATGGTGGAGAAGATGTAGGAAATTTAGCTTCACAGCAAGGTCTCCAGTTCAAATACCAGTGTGACCTTTCCATGTGAAGTTAGCATGTTCTCCCTCGTGTATGCGTGGGTTTACTCCGGGTGCTCCGGTCCCCCCCCACACACACACACACGTCTCTGGCTGTGAGTGAGTGAGTGAGTGAGTGCACACATCCCATCCGCTGAATCACCACCTTGCCTGGGTTTGCGTACCTCTATGATCCTGAAGGCTGGTGTGTCGGGGTGTCTGCTCCAGGGGGGTCTACCCTGGCAGTTTCCTCAGGTGAGAGGTCAGACTAAGAGTGATTCAAAGACTTATTTTATAGAAAGCCAGAAAAGATGCTTTGGTCACACATTACACCCACCTGGAGTCATGATGCTCTCCACCCAGCTGAAGGTCTCCATGTTGGAGAAGTTGCTGGTGGCCACTGAGACAATCCTCATGGTGAACAAGGAGGTCACCTCTCTGCAGCTCCAAGCAGCAGAAAAATGAGTCTGACTGTTGTTTCTGCTCCAGACAGCTGTTCAGAGTACTTGACCTTCTGAGTTTCTGGATTTTGTTTTTGTGAAGTGATTGAAAAATAAAATAAAGAGAAGCTGAGGGAGAAGCTGTTACAGCTACTCATGTTTGTGCTCATGAGTTTAAATTATAACTGTAATAATAAATATCAGCCTGTTATTCTGCAGTGGATTGTCCCACACAGCTAAAAAGGCTTCGGTGTGTTTTGTACATTTGAGAGTATTAATTGTAGTTTTCATTCTCAGATGTTGTTCAGCTCTTTCCCAAAACTCTGTTCACACTCAGAGTCTCTTCTGATGTTTAAATATGGTTCACTTACTCTAAAAATGACTTTTCTCCTTTTCATAAAATAAAACTTTGAATCACTTAAAACCAGCGACTTAATTATTAAGTGTTAATATGTATATTAATTGTTCTTACTGTATGTATCATGAGAAGTCTTGAGGTGTGATGGACAAATTAAGCTTCAGCTTCAATCCACACACACACACACACACATGCACGCGCAAACACATACACACACACGCACGCACATGCGCAAACACACACACACACACATGCGCACGTGCATGCTCGGACACACACACACACAGGCTCAAATTAACACTAATATAAATATTGCTTTATGAAAGCTTCTGTGTAGAGATTTGGGGACAAATTACAAGGTACATTAAATTCCCTTCTAACTCAGAACATGTATTTAGGATCATTCACAGAGTGAGTCATGGAGATCATACCAGGTCATTATTTTACAGTTGGATAAATTAAACATCACATATTTTTAAAGATAATCAGCTAAGCAAAATAATAAATGCAAGTGCTACTAGGGAATGCTTCTGTGTTTCTGTGTGTGTGGGGTGAAACTATGGAGCAGTCCTAATGCACAGTTGAAGCAGTGTCTAAATGTAGAGCCGTTCATAAGAAGGTAAAAGAGATGATCATTAGGAAATATAAGAACAATACTTCACAGTTCTCCTCTTCTGTGTTTTCCTTTTGCCAGTTTTTCTGTCTTGTAATTTCTCTTTTATTAGGTGTGTTGTTCCAGAAATTACTGTTGAGCCTCTGGTTCTGGACTTCAAGAGATGTTACCTTGATCGCTCCTACAGACAGAAAGTGAAGCTGACCAACTCCAGCGGTCTTTATGCCTGTTATGGTGTCCTCGAGCAGGTGGGTTCATCTCTCATGAGGACTTAGCATCAGGGGAACATCAGGGGAACAGCGGACACAATAACAGAGTAGTGCTGACTGACAACTTTTTCCTAAGCGTTTAAGTTTTGGAACCTTTAGCAGCAGTTTTTGGTTCTCCTGTTACTAATATGTCTTATGTGCAAGTAAATTTGGCTTGATACTAATGTTTTCAGGAAAGTGAAGAAAGTTCACAGTTGATTTTCAACTTTCCTGAGCCCAGAGGAGTTCTCCCCCCTCACAGCTCCCTGGAGCTTCCTGTGCTCCTGGTGGCGAAGGCTGTAGGCCAGCTCAGTCACGCTTTACACATCTCTGTGTTTGGTAGCCTCCAACAACCTCTGGTTAGTGAACATAAAAGGAAAATTTGACCTTACAGCAGGTTAAAAATTGTGTGTTTTCTACAAAGTCTGTTCTCAAATGTGTCCGTTTCCTGTTTTGTTGCAGGAGGTCATCCTGTCCTGCACTGGGCAGGGACCAGTTGTCCATATTCCCATCCCACAGCTGCGATTTGGCAAAATTCCCGTTCTGTCTGACATCGATAGATCCTTGCAACTGTTTAACCAGTCTCCTATCCCAGCCCACTTCACCACCAGCATGGTACGGAAACCAACTCCACACAGACTCATATTCAAAACCTCTTGTCAGACTGAATCCTCTGTGCTTCTCTTACCTCTTCGATCTTATGTTGCACTGAAAGTCAAGCCATGGGCTAACTCTTGAGAGTTGTGCAGCCAAGTCAGATGGACATACCCCCATAAGGGAGATACTTTAATGCATCATCTTTCAATGATGGAAGAAGCTAGTGGAACACTGGTGTTTCCAGTGGAAGACATGAGGTAGGAACACGTACCCTGATTAAGCTCAGACTGTGTTTCTGGTTTTCACAGGACAACAAAAACTCCTTCTGGCGTGTTGAACCCAGTCATGGAGAAGTACCACCAGAAGGCCAGTTGAAGCTAAAGATTGTGGCTCATCTGAGGGACACTCTGTCCTTCCATGACAAACTGAGAATATCTATACAGGACAGTCAGACACACATTATCAGTGTTTCGGCCACTGGAGGAGGCACCACCATCATCAGTGACAGGCCTTTTGGACCCTCCCTTGACCTGGGAACTCACTTCAGGTAGAAATCAGACGAAACTCGGTTATTCTCTGATCTAAAATTTCAAATTGAACTCTGACAGTGTTTCTCAAATTGTTTTATCTTTTAAGCCGTAGTTCCTCCCAGTTCCACTTCAAACTGACCAACCATGGCCAGCGAGTGCACCGGATGTACTGGAAGATTGATGGCATCCTGTCATCTCCCCAAAAGCACAAACGTGGCAGCACATCCAACACAGGTTTTCTACCCCCTATCAGTCCTCCCAGACAAAAAGACACCATCACCCGTGGATCCTTCCTTTCAGCTGGACAAAATTCAGAGTTAAGCCTCAGCCCATGTCGTATGGAGCTATTCCCAGGCGACTCATGTGACATGGTGCTCACGACATCTTCAGACGTCCCCAAGGTGACACCTTTTGCTTGGAGGCTTTCAAGAGAGCAGCTCTGAGTTTCATCATGACAGCTGGTCCTATGTATTAGATTAGACATCTAGACTGTTTCTTCCTGCATGTTTCTAGGTCATACACAAGCGTCTGGTATGCCAGGGTTTTATTGGCCATGAGAGCCGTCAGGAGACCATCATGACTGTAGATGTGACCTGCCGCTTTGTGGCTCCAGTGCTCAGTTTGTCCACAAAGAAGCTGAATTTCTACATCAAGAAGGTTAGTCAGAAACACACAAACAACACATTTCAGGAAACATAAATCCAACATGGATGTCCAAAAAGCAAAAGAGGATACAATACTTCTGTCAGGCGCGCTGGTGAGTGGAGCGGAGGTGAGGATCCAAATGCTGGGGAGGAAGCAGGCAGGCAGACATACTGGAAAACGTAAAAGGGTTTTAATGATAAACGCACGCAGGACATGGAAACAATGAGCCAACAAGAGACACAGAACTGGAGGGGTTTAAATACAAGAGGGCTGGGAGCTTGGGTGATTGGAAAACGAGAGGCAGGTGGGAGCAATTAACAGAGACACATGGCTGAACAGAATGGGGAGACAGGACAGGGTGTGACAGTACCCCCCCCCCCCCCCCCCAAAGGGCGGATCCCGGATGCCCATAGGACACCCTTTTACTACCTACGTCATCAAAAGTTGCGCGCGCAGCCTGGCAACGAGAGTGAAGGCTTCCTCATTCACACTCGATACTAAAACAGCGTTTTAAACCCTTTGTTTTGAAGTTCTGAGCACATAAAAATGTCGGGTTGTTGCGTGTATGGATGCCAGAATCGCTTCTCTTCAAGCAGTGGAGTGAAACTTTACAGAATTCCGAAGGGAGCACATCCATTTCAACAAAATCGGAGGCGTCTGTGGCTGCAGGCCATCAAAAGGGTTGATGAAAACTGGACGGAAAACACGATCCGAAATGCTCGAGTTTGTAGCGCCCATTTTATATCAGGTAAGGTAATTATGTACTAAGGTTACATATAAATTTATACGCTTTATTTCATGCTTCAAATTAACATTTCATTCTAATTCATCTGTATTTTCCCACTGCATATTAGTATAAACTGTATTTCTCTAAAATTAACACGATTGTACTCTGAGCACGCTAAAAAAAGAAACCTATGCTATACTCACCCTGCCATGCAGGTACAGTTGGCTGTGAAGACGTAGTTCTCTGGTTTGTTTACTATGACCCAAGCCTCATACATAGCAGTCTTGTGTCCTTGTCTTTGGCTAGGAAGGACTTCTGCCTTCAAGACGCAAAACTCAGAGTCTATGTTGTGATATTTTACATTCTGTACGTGGCCACAGACAACATAGTTGTATGCAGCTAACGATTTGTATGCCCGTAGCTTCTCACGTGTGTACTTACTGGGCCTCTCCATTAAAAACGTATATATATCGGGCCACTGGATATCTGGCCACGCACCTACATCTTCCACCCATTCCGTAATGCCACAGGGATCCGGGAGTCTGTTGCCATTCGTTAAAGTGAGTTTACTAATATAACATTCAAGATTTGCCGGTGATAACCCCGCAGCGTAGCTTGATAAAGCCTGAAACAACGCCATTCTCTGTTGCCAAGCTGCGCGTGCATTCTCGCTGACGTCATATTGTTTACAAACAGTAAAAGGGTCTATAGGAACACAGAGCAGGGCGGGAGGAGGGGGACCCGGAGGGAGGGCCGAGAGGGACCGAGGGACTGATGGAGAGGAGGCAGGGACCTGTAGAGTCCGGGGGCCTGCGTCTGGGGCAGAGGAGGAGGCGACGACGGGCTCTGGGGGGCCTGCGTCTGTGGCAGAGGAGGAGGCGATGACGAGCTCTTGGGGGCCTGCGTCTGTGGCAGAGGAGGAGGCGACGACAGGCTCTTGGGGGCCTGCGTCTGTGGCAGTGGAGGAGGTGCCGACGGGCTCTTGGGTCCTGCGTCTGTGGCAGAGGAGGAGACGCTGACGGGCTCTTGGGGGCCCGCGCCTGGTGAGGGCAGGACTGGCAGAGACGCCGGAGGAGACGTCCTTGACTTCTTGGCTGGAGGCGGCAGCGTCGGCCTCTGGGCTGGAGGCGGCGGTGTCAGCCACTGGACTGGAGGCGGCGGTGTCAACCACTGTTTATGTTTATGTTTATGTACCGTAAATCCTCTAACACAGGCCGGTATTCAATTAAAGGCCGGGTCTCCAATTCTGGCCGGTGCCGGAGTCAGCGGAGGCAAATAATGGCCGGTCTCTTATTGTGGCCGGATGGAATGTGGTAACAAGTAAGTACGAGCGACCCAGCGGCAGGGTTGTAGTCCCCAAATCAACCAGCAAGAGGCAGCAGAAGTTCACGCAGACCTATTTTAGGCTTTTTCTTCAATGCTTTGTAACGCTACAGACACGATCCTCTATCACGCTCCTACCACACAGAGTCACGGTGTCAGTTAACCATGCTAATTCAACCCGCTCCACAGAACACACATCACCTTCCCTGTGGCTTACATAACACTCACACAACACGCAGATCAGCACATAGGAACCAGCAGAACGATAGGAAACACATATAACACAATACCCAGATTGCACCTGGCTTACAACCCCAACCAGGTCATTACACTATCAAGTTCAAAGAGAACGTGCTGATTATGCTGCAGAACACTCTGGGGAGCAGCAGTAGGGGGTGTATGAACTACAGTAGTCCCTCGTTTATCGCGGTAGATGCGTTCCAGACCTGGCCGCGATAGGTGAAAATCCGCGAAGTAGGGACTCCCAGCATGCCCCTCGCAGGGATTCCCTTCACGTCGCACCTACGTCACAAACCGCGGCTATAAACGGAAGTCGCCTTTCCAGCTCACCACTCAGTCATCGTTTCTTCAGATTCACGATCAGAGTTTCCAACCTACCGATCAATCCAACGAACTATCAGCTCATAGTAAGTTATCTTACTTACTTCTGGAAAGCCCGGCATTTCCGTGTCACTTCGTTGATGCTCGAACGCTCGGGGGTTTCCTAGATCAGCCGGCGTTTCACCGACGCTCTCACTTCCGCGTCTGTGAAACCACGCTCCCTATTGAATTATCGTATGATCACATTCTCTGTGATCAGCAACGCGCTGTGCCGGACCGTAGGTACTGACACGCGATCGTTCATGTCGGTTCATTTCCTTTAATGTTTTCTGTCTTTTAGTTGCGCCTGATGTGTATCGCTGCTGTGGAGCGGGGCGCATCAACTTGTCCTCCGACGCACAGATCACAGCAGGGAGCGCTCAGCTGTTTTCGCGGTTGGTAGATCTGCCTCCTGAGCACGGCCACAGTAACAATCAGGTGTCGCCACCTCAAAAACTAATTTAACACGCGATCGTTCATGTCAGTTCATTTCCTTTAATGTTTTCTGTCTTTTATTTGCGCCTGATGCGTTTCGCTGCATGCTGTGGAGCGGATCACCTTGTCCTCCGACGCACCGATCACTGATACAGCCGCCAAACAGCGAGCGCTCCGCTGTTTTTGCGGTCGATAGATCTTTTAGAACTGCAGTTCAAAGATAACTCATGAGGTGAATATATATGAAGCCAGGTAGCAGTTTCTCTTTAGGATTGAGAGGAGATGCAGGAAGATAATTAACAGGCAGGACAGAAAAATAGTCAAATAAAAACAAGTTAGTTTTTGTACCTGCTGTTGCAACAAACAGACACCATTGAAGGTCATCAGAAGTGAGGAACAGAAAATGAAATAATTATTTTAATGTTTAGAGCAGCAGGAACTCCGAGAGGCTGCAGGCGCATCAGTGAGTTTGCGGCCGCTGCGCAGGGGGAGGGGGGAGATGGCTGAAGCAGGGGGAGGGGGGAGAGGACTGAAGCAGGAACTACCGTTGTTAAAAGAAATGTGTTTAACTTTGAAAATGTGGGCGCAATTTTAATTGTCAAAAACTCCAGCGAACCATTAGTTCATTTTGCTCAAATAGAAATAGAGGCCTGCCTCTAATACTGGCCCTCCTTCCAATAAAGGCCCGGAGCTTGATGAGCTTGAGTCAAATACAGGCCCGGGCCTGTATTAGAGGATTTACGGTATTTAGCAGACGCTTTTGTCCAAAGCGACTTACAAGTGATAAACGACATTTTGCCCTTGAGGCTAACAACAATAGTAACAACAACAAATTGACATCAGTCATGGAGAGGAGGGAACAAGGAGTGGACAGTAGAGAGGGGGGACGGGTGCAGGCAAGGTGCTAGTTAAGAAGATGCTCTCTGAAGAGCAGGGTCTTCAGGAGTTTCTTGAAAATAGAAAAGGAAGCCGCAGTTCTGGTAGTGTTAGGAAGGTCATTCCACATTTGTGGAACGATGCATGAGAAAAGTCTGGATTGTCCTGAGCGTGGTGTAGGCACTGCTAGTCGACGATCCTGTGATGACCGCAGCGGCCGGGCCGAGACGTAAGCCTTTGCAAGAGGATTCAGGTAGATGGGAGCCGTACTGTCTCGGACTTTGTATGCTAGTGTTAGTAATTTGAATTTGATGCGTGCTGCTAGCGGTAGCCAGTGGAGCTCAATGAACAGAGGGGTAACGTGTGCTCTTTTAGGCTGATTGAAGACCAGACGCGCTGCTGCGTTCTGGACCATTTGAAGAGGTTTCACAGTACAGCCTGGAAGACCAATTAGAAGAGCATTGCAGTAGTCGAGGCGGGAGATGACAGTAGATTGCACCAGGAGCTGGGTGGCATGTTGTGTTAGGTATGGTCGGATCTTTCGTATGTTGTACAGCGCAAAGCGGCATGAACGGGCAACAGAGGCAACATGATCTTTAAAGGCCAGGTGTTCATCAATCACAACACCCAGATTTCGAACTGCCTTTGAAGGAGCCAGAGATAGGAAGTCCTTCTGGATTGAGATATTGTGCTGTATGGATGGTTTTGCTGGGATGACAAGCAGTTCAGTTTTAGAGAGGTTGAGTTGGAGATGGTGGGATTTCATCCATTTTGAGATGTCAGAGAGACAGTTTGATATTCGTGCTGAGATAGTGTGGTCGTCCGGTGGAAATGACAGATAGAGCTGGGTGTCTTCTGCATAGCAGTGGTAGGAGAAGCCATGTGATCGAATGATCTCACCCAGTGAGGTGGTGTATATGGCAAAGAGAAGAGGTCCCAGTACAGAGCCCTGGGGGACTCCTGTGGCAAGGTGGTGCACGGTAGAGGACTGTCCAAGCCAAGATACGCTGAATGATCGTCCTGTGAGGTAAGATTCAAACCAGGCGTGTGCTTTCTCTGTGATGCCCATGGTAGAGAGTGCGGAAAAAAGGAAGCCATGGTTGACAGTGTCAAATGCAGCCGATAAGTCGAGCAGAATAAGCGCTGAGGATTTGCCAGTCGCTCTAGCTTCTTTTAAGGATTCAGTCACTGCTAACAGAGCAGTTTCAGTGGAGTGGCCCTTTTTGAACCCAGATTGGTAAGGGTCAAGCAGACAGTTTTGTGAGAGGTATTCTGTAATCTGTTTGAAAGCCACCCTTTCAATGATTTTGGACAGAAAAGGGGGGAGAGAGATAGGTCGGTAGTTCTCCACATGATTTGGAGGAAGAGATGTTTTTTTTTATCAGCGGTTTAACCTGAGCATGCTTGAGAGAGGTGGGAAATGTACCGGACGTCAGTGATGCATTGATCACATGTGTGACTGCTGCGGCTACTGTAGGAGCAATAGCTTGGAGCAGCTTAGTTGGAATAGGGTCAAGTGGGCATGTAGTAGGGCGGCTGCACGTGAGAAGCTTGGACACACAGTTCTCAGTGACAGGGGAAAAAGAGGAAAATGAAGCAGTAGGGTCTGAGATGGTTGGGCTTGAAGGAGATTGTGGTAGTGAATGTTCAGGAGTGGCCAGTTGAGAAAACTGTTTTCTTATCGCTGCCACTTTGTCAGTGAAGAATGAGGCAAAGGTGTCAGCTGATAGATTGTTGGTAGGAGGTGGAGATGGAGGGTTGAGCAGAGATTTGAAAGTTGAAAATAGTTTCTGAGAGTCAGTAGAGCTGATAATTTTGTCAGTGTAGAAAGCTTTCTTTGCATCAGTGATAATGGCAGAGAATGAGGACAGTAATTCCTGAAATTTCAATAGATCACCAGGATCTCTTGTTTTGCGCCATTTCCGTTCCGCAGCTCTAAGATTGGTGCGTAGAGCCCGGAGGGTATCATTGAGCCAAGGGTGCGACTGAGAGGCTCTAGCAGATCTAGTGGCTAAAGGGCACAAGTTGTTAAGACAAGAGCCGAGTGTGGAGCAGAGTGAATCAGTGGCTTCGTTCACTTCATAAGCAGAGAATGTGCTGGGAGAAGGAAGAGTGGAGGCAACAAGAGAGGAGAAGTAGTTGGGTGCCAGATTGCGGAGGTTGCGGCGGAAAGAGACCATTGGGGAGGAAGCAGTGGACCTCCCTTGTAGTGTCGTGCTGAAATGGATGAAGTAATAATCCGAAAGATGCAGCGGTGTGACAGAGATTGTGTCTATGGCACAGTTTCTGGAGAAAATGAGGTCAAGTGCTTTTCCAGCTTTGTGAGTTGGAGGGCTTTGTACGAGCTTTAAATCAAATGATGACATTAGTGACAGGAAGCCTGATGAGCTGGGATTGTCCAGGTGAATATTCATGTCTCCAAGGACCACTGTGGGACAGTCGTGCTCAGGAATGGAGGAAAGCAGGGTGTCGAGTTCATCAAGAAATTCTCTGAGTTGACCTGGTTGACGATATATGACAACCAAAAAGAATTTTTTCGGTACAGTCACCTGGATGGCATGGTATTCAAAGGAGTTGTACTTAGTGATTGGTAGCAACTGACTATATATCCATTTATTGGAAATTAACATGCCCGTTCCACCACCTCGGCCAGATGCACGAGAAGTGTGGGTGAAAGTGTGGTTAACTGACAGAGCAGATGGGGTAGCATTGTCACAAGGTTTGATCCAGGTCTCAGTGAGAGCCAGTGCATCGAGTGACAGGTGGTTAGCATATGCAGTAATGAAGTCAGCTTTGCGTCAACCACTGGACTGGAGGCGGCGGCGTCGACCACTGGACTGGAGGCGGCGTCGTCGACCACAGGACCGGAAGGGGCGTCGACCTCTGGAGTGGAAGGGGCGTCGACCTCTGGAGTGGAAGGGGCGTCGATCTCTGGAGTGGAGGCGTTGACCTCTGGAGTGTAGGCGTTGACTTCTGGACACGAGGAGGAGTCGACTTCTGGACACGAGGAGGCGTCAACTTCTGGACACGAGGAGGCATCGACTTCTGGACAGGAAGGAGCGTCGACCTCTGGACTGGAAGGAGCGTCGACCTCTGGACTGGAAGGAGTGTCGAGCGTCGACCTCTGGACGGGAAGGAGTGTCGACCTCTGGACGGGAAGGAGTGTCGACCTCTGGACGGGAAGGAGTGTCAACCTCTGGACGGGAAGGAGCGTCGACCTCTGGACGGGAAGGAGCGTCGACCTTTGGACAGGCAGGAGCGTCGACCGCTGGACGGGAAGGAGCGTCGACCTCTGTTGGCTTTGCGTCAACCACTGGACTGGAGGCGGCGGCGTCGACCACTGGACTGGAGGCGGCGTCGTCGACCACAGGACCGGAAGGGGCGTCGACCTCTGGAGTGGAAGGGGCGTCGACCTCTGGAGTGGAAGGGGCGTCGATCTCTGGAGTGGAGGCGTTGACCTCTGGAGTGTAGGCGTTGACTTCTGGACACGAGGAGGAGTCGACTTCTGGACACGAGGAGGCGTCAACTTCTGGACACGAGGAGGCATCGACTTCTGGACAGGAAGGAGCGTCGACCTCTGGACTGGAAGGAGCGTCGACCTCTGGACTGGAAGGAGTGTCGAGCGTCGACCTCTGGACGGGAAGGAGTGTCGACCTCTGGACGGGAAGGAGTGTCGACCTCTGGACGGGAAGGAGTGTCAACCTCTGGACGGGAAGGAGCGTCGACCTCTGGACGGGAAGGAGCGTCGACCTTTGGACAGGCAGGAGCGTCGACCGCTGGACGGGAAGGAGTGTCGACCTCTGTTGGCTTCTGGTCCGGAGGCGCCGGCTTCTGGACCGGATTTTTCCTACTGGGAAGTTAGAATTTCTGAGGAGAAAGCGAACGCACCATTAGCTGATAACAACGGTGGCAATGGAAGCTAACATATCAAGCTAACGTTATCTTAAACAGTTTATTTAACTGCTGGAGCAGATTAAAACGATGATGCCTCACACTTTGATCGTTGTCACTGGTTTCATCTTCACCCAATCACCCGTCGCATTTAGTAAAGTGAAGCCAAACTTTAGAGCGCGTTCATGTTCTTCTAGTCGGAAATTCGGAGTTCCGAGGAGAAAGCGAACGCACCATTAGCGAAACGGAAGCTAACATATCAAGCTAACGTTATCTTAAATATTTTATTTACCTACCGGAGCAGATTAAGATGAGGATGTCTCACTTAGATCGTTGTCGCTGGTTTCATCATCACCCAGTTACCCATCACATTTAGTGAAGTGGACCCAAGCTTCGGCGTGCATTCTTTCTACCATGCTGCTCTGTGTACAATTGGCTCGCAGCGAGCGATGACATAACGCTCTTGCGCATGCGTAGCCGTCTTGGCAAGGTCTCGTTATGAAGGACGGGTACCGAAACGAGGCACCGTTTGAAATTACGTGAATCGGTGCTCGGTCAGTACTATGGAATTTGGTCGGTACCTTAAAAAGTACAGAATTCGGTACCCATCCCTAGTACAAGTACACTTTGAATAATTTAGTGAAAGATGTTATTTCTCCTTTAAATCTTTGATGTTTAAAATACATTTTTCAGAATTTCTAGTACTTTTACTTGCATATCGGCATTTGTTCTAATCTGTTTAAAGTTCTATTTATAACACCATGGTATAACATCTAAAATCCAACTGAAGGAGAAACCTGAACATTTGTAAATGTTATAACTTATAGACACAAGGAAGAAAAAAAGTCATTAATAAATTTGCTTCTTTCCTATAATTCCTTTTGTTGTTTATATATTGGAGATTAACTACAGAAGATTTTTTACTCACAGGTCAAAGGACAGAGCGTGCTGCCTGTATATGAGAAGCTGGTCCTGAGTAATGTGTCTCCTCTGTCCCTGTCCATGATGCTCTCCCTTGATGCACCTTTCTTTCTTTGTGACGCCAGAGGAAACCACTCAGCAACCACTAAGGTGCTTATTTTCTGTCATAATTGTTCGACTTCTTTTAGAGTTATTTTTATTTTAAATAGAAATAAACACCCTGACTTTAGTCTAAATGTTCCCATAAATTGAGACTTTAGTGTTCTTTCCAATTAAACCAGCCAACTCATTATTGTGTGAGTAATAACAGCTGCTACAGGTGAAACTCAAAAATTAGAATATGGTAAAAACATTAATTTATGTCAATATTTCAACCTAAAAGATTAAATGGATACATGAGATAGACTCATCTCATGCAAAGCCAGATTCAAAGCTTTTATTTGTTCTAATTGTGATGATTATGGTTTACAGATTATAAAAAAATCCACTTTTAAAATATCAATTGGAATATTGTGAAAAAGCTTAAATATTCTAGACTCAAATTGTCACACTCTAATCCATCAATGAATCCAAAACACCTGCGGGGGTTAGGGTCAGATGGTCTCTCAGTGTAAGGTGAATTACTGAAGTAAATAAACTTTTGCACCATGTTCTCATTTCACCAGTTTCACCTATTGATATTATTTTTTTCACTCATAGAGGCTCAACTTATTGAAGTTGTCTTCTATTATTTTACACATTTACAGAATTTTTCAGCTGGTTTTAGAAAAAACTGCGTATGATGATTTATTTTGTTTATGTTAGGAACAGAGCAGCTCTCAATAAATACAAGAAGAGCTTCAACAGCACTAAATCACTGATAGCTGTTTTTTTATTCTATGTAAATAAAAAATTGGAAAATAAAATAAATAAAAAATAACAAACATTATAACAAAAAACTATGAATGAATATAAAATAATTTCTATAAAGGTCTAACTTAGCTTCAGTAAAGTTAATAATAATAATTCTGACTATTTTACTGGGCTTTTTTTAGATTCACAGAGTCGATGAGTCTTTAGTAATTTAATCCTTTAATTAGGTCAACTGCTTGGTAGAGCATGTTTTAGTGTCCAAGTGCTGAAATAAGCAAACATTGTTGGTATGTTTGAACAAAAAAATTTACATCTTTAAAGTCCATTTATTACCCAATATTAGTTTTAATTTTATTATTAATTTAGATTACACTGTTTACCCCAAATTAAAGAAATATAAAAAAAATCTTTTTTTTGTTTGAAGTTGTTTCAGGGCTAATATAATAGCGGTTAATTCATATTTTTCCCCATTCTGTTTTTTCTTGTTTTTTTTAGTTTTATTATTATTTTTAACATTTGTCATTTTCTGCAGCCTTTAGGTGAAAACTGAAGCAGGCTGAATGTGTCACGCCCTGTCCTGTCTACTCTTAGGTTTTGTCTGTTCTCCGTTAATTGCTCCCACCTGCCTCTTGTTTCCCAATCACCATAGCTCCCGCTCCTCTTGTATTTAAACCCCTTCTGTTCTGTGTTCCCTGTCGTGTCATTGTTTCAGTGTCCAGCGTGTGTTTCTAATAAACCTTTGTGAAACGGACTCACCTGTTCGCCTTGTTCCTCCCCACGTTTGGATCCTCATCTGATCACCGCTCCACTCACCAGGCACGCACGTTCGTGACAGAATGACACGACCCCCTGAAGGGTCCAGCGGGGAGATCCTCCCATGGAAGTATTTATTCCAGTTCTTCTCCGCCGACTATCGACCGGCTTCTCCTTCCCCAGCTCCAGCTCCGCCTCGCCGCAGACGGCGTTCCCGACCTTCTGCCTCGGCGTTCCTCGCCGCCCTTCTGGAACCGGACGGGAGGTTGGAGGGAGAGACGCTCCGGGATCGCTCCAGCTTCGATGGCACGAGGCTGGCTTTCTGCTCCCCCGGGGTTGGTCCACGGCGTGGGGAGAGACGCCGGAATCCACCGCAGCCCTGCGCTTCAGGACGGAGCTGCGAGCCCACCGCTGGCTGTGCTCGGCGAGCCAGTTCGGACACGCCCCCGGTCAGACCAGCGGTCCCGTCTCCGGCCGAATCGGCGTCTGCAGGAGGAGGAGCTGCGCTCGCAGCCCTGTGGGCGGAGCACGCCAGTCTACAGGTTGAGACAGCCCAGGTTCGTCAGACCATCGAACTCCAAGTCCTCCAGCTAGATGATCTGCTCGCTGAACTCCGCGGGCTCCAGCTGGACGATCTGCTCGCTGAGCTCCAGCTGGACCACCTGCTCGTTGAATTCCAGCTGGACGAACTGTTCGCGGCTCCGGCTGAACCAGCTGTCCCGCCTCCGGTCCACTCGGCTCCTCTGTCATCTGTGGGAGGTGGAGCCACACCCACAATCCAGCCAACTGAACTGGCCAGTCAACGGGCTGAGCTGGTCCGGCTTCAACAGAGCGCCCATTCTAATCAGCTCCGACTCGACGCTCTGCGCTCCCTGTCTTCAGCACTAGCACTGCTCGTTCACTCAAGGCCTGTTCCAGGGGGGGTCCAGAAGCAGACGGTACCAGCCCAGAAGCAGATGGGTCCGGTGCAGGCCCAGAAGCAGACGTTACCAGCCCAGAGGACGGCGGTTCGGGGACTGGCGGTCCAGAAGCCAGAGGACCAGAAGCGGATGAAAGTCAACACCTCCTCCATTCCAAGGGTCGACGCCTCCATTCCAAGGGTCGACGCCTCCATTCCAAGGGTCGACGCCTCCATTCCAAGGGTCGACGCCTCCATTCCAAGGGTCGACCTTCCATTCCAAGGGTCGACGCCTCCATTCCAAGGGTCGACGCCTCCATTCCAAGGGTCGACGCCTCCATTCCAAGGGTCGACGCCTCCATTCCAAGGGTCGACGCCTCCATTCCAAGGGTCGACGCCTCCATTCCAAGGGTCGATGCCTCCAATCCTGAAGTCAGCTCGTCTGATGACGTCGCCGCCGCCCATCCTGAAGTCGGCTCGTCCGATGACGTCGCCGCCGCCCATCCTGAAGTCGGCTCGTCCGATGACGTCGCCGCCGCCCATCCTGAAGTCGGCTCGTCCGATGACGTCGCCGCCGCCCATCCTGAAGTCGGCTCGTCCGATGACGTCGCCGCCGCCCATCCTGAAGTCGGCTCGTCCGATGACGTCGCCGCCGCCCATCCTGAAGTCGGCTCGTCCGATGACGTCGCCGCCTCCACTCCTGAAGTCGGCTCGTCCGATGACGTCGCGTCTGGTCTGACGTCTCCTCCGTGTCCGGTTCTGATGGTGACTCTGAAGGTCGCTCCGGTCCAGCCTGCAGGGACTTTGTCGCCGGTCCTCCCTGTGTCCCCGGCCCAACCTGCAGGGCTCCTCTACCGCAGGCGCCGCCCTCCCAGGGCCTGTCGCCTCCTCATCTGCCCCAGGCGCAGGCCCCCAAGGGTCCGTCCCCATCTCCTCATCTGCCCCAGGCACAGGCCTCCAAGGGCCTGTCCTCGCCTCCTCATCTGCCCCAGGCGCCAGCCTCCAAGGGACTGTCGCCTCCTCATCTGCCCCAGACGCAGACCCCCTAGGGTTCGTCCTCGTCTCCTCATCTGCCCCAGGCGCCGGCCTCCAAGGGCCCGTCGCCTCCTCATCTGCAGCAGGCGCAGGCCTCCTGACTCTGCTGATCCCTGCCGCCTCTCCTGTGGTCCCTCGGTTCCTCTGGGCCCTCCCTCCGGGTCCCCCTCCTCCCGCCCTGCTCCTTGTTCCTGTGGGCGTCTGGGATCCGCCCTTTGGGGGGGGGGGGGTACTGTCACGCCCTGTCCTGTCTACTCTTAGGCTTTGTCTGTTCTCCGTTAATTGCTCCCACCTGCCTCTTGTTTCCCAATCACCATAGCTCCCGCTCCTCTTGTATTTAAACCCCTTCTGTTCTGTGTTCCCTGTCGTGTCATTGTTTCAGTGTCCAGCGTGTGTTTCTAATAAACCTTTGTGAAACGGACTCACCTGTTCGCCTTGTTCCTCCCCGCGTTTGGATCCTCATCTGATCACCGCTCCACTCACCAGGCACGCACGTTCGTGACAGAATGTTTGGATCACACTGAGTGTGTTTATTATTATAGAATATTAACACAACCACAGCTGATAATATTTATGTTTTGAATCAGTTGAAATGCATGCCTATCTAGACCGTCATTTGCAGAAGCAAAACTTTGCTTTGCATATTGTCATAAATACATATATAGGATGGCTTGCCACTGCCAGGCTATGGAAATTAAGCATTTGAATTAACCCTCCCACTGTCCTAATGTGTGTGACCCCGCAAGGAAAGTTGACCATTGAGCAGGGTTGATGGTTTATCCCTTGGGTCCATGTGGCAGGGGTGAGGAGTGAGCACCACCTCACCCCTGCCACATGGACCTCAAGGGATAAAACATCAATCCTGCTCAATGGTCAACTTTCCTCGTGGGGTCACCCATAAAGACAGTGGGAGGGTTAATATTTAAGTGCCTTTAAACTTCTAACTCATCCTGAAAAGTGAAAATGGTTGTAGAACACCTTCTTCTATGGCAGAACAACAGAAACTACTTTAGGGATTTTAAAGATTTAATAATTTTTGTGTGGAAATGAGATCTTCTCAGAAATGACAAAGGTGCAGTCTGAAACTGAAATGTTCGTTTAAGTTATTGACGAATTAACTCTTTAGCTTTAAAGGTGTGGAACACTGACAACCCATTTTTAAAATCTTATTTCTGATTATAACTGGTCAATCTGAGTTTTTCATGCGAGTTGAACATGGAAATAGTCTCCTACACCTATCTCCTGCAATAGCTTCTCATAGAAAATAGATGGTGAAACGCAAGGATATGAAAATCTTGAAATCCAAGTCACACGGTCACTTAACATTTATGGCCTCACCCATCTTGATTCTGGTTGTTGGTTCAGTGCTCAGGAAACGTTTTGGCTAGCAGAAGCTAACTGTTAGCATTGGCAACTTTACCACCTGTGTTGGGAACATTACTTTAAAAAAGTAATTAGTTATAGTTACTGATTACTTTGTCAAAAAGGTAACTCAGTTACTAACTGAGTTACAAGATTATAAAAGTAACTAATTACCAAGAAAAATAACTACTTAGTTACTTTTTTCATTAAAGCTTGCAAGAATTACTACAATAGTGAAATATAAATAACTAATGACTGGAACATAATAAAATGTATGTCCTAATGTTTTTTATAAACCTGAATAATTTAAATAAATAAGCACTTAACAGGAGGAACTACTAATAGGAACATTACACTTATCTAGACTATTAAAAGGTCACTGTGTGATATTTAACAAGACCCCAATCAGCTAAAATTTAAAATTGCAAATAGAAACACCTGTAAAGGTTCCCGAGCCTTTAAATGGTCTCTCAGTCTAGTTAAATAACTGAAAAAAATGTAATTTTGCACAGCATTTTAATTTTTCCAGCTTCACATAATTGTGTGTTTTTAGTAGCATTTCTGTTGCTGGTAATCTAGTAATGGTTAAATAAATAAATAAAATCCTTTAAAATGACACTAGAAGAGGCACAAGCCTGATGGAGGACTAACATTTACTAACTTGGGTCAGACCCAACCACAGAAGAGCTGAAGCTGGGTGGTAAACACACACAGGTAGTTCTAATAACTCCTGAGCTCCATGACGTTTGAGGCTGATGCATCAGTGTTACAGCGGGACTAAAGACATGATCAGAAACAGGTTACAGCTGGATGATCTAGGAAGGTAGAAGATCAGGACGTCTAAGCGGTGAACAGGTGAGTGGACCTTCGGGACGTCCCGCTGTCACGCTAAGAAGGGCACGGATGGGTCTGCAGCCGTAGATATTCATCATGTCTTCCTCGTTCTTCACGGCCGTGATGCGCTTGGATGCAAACATCTACCTCTTTAGGTCCTGATCAGCTGATGACAGCTTCAACACACCGCACTGCTTAACGCACGCATTTCCTTATCAGTAACAGAAACGATGGTTTTGTTAAAAGAAGATGGTAATTAATTAGTTTGCTCGTTACAGAAAGAAAAATTTTTTAGTAACACGGTTATTTTAAACGGCGTTATTCCCATCACTGCTCTGTTTTGTCTACAGCAGGCAGTGACTGAGACAGTGAGGGTCTCCGCCCACCCGGCCAATCATCATCGTGTTTGTAAGTGCGTTACCGACACCTCTCTCTCCCTGGCTGCAGCTGAAGTGTGGCGGTCAGAAAGCCTCACACTGTTGCTCAACGTTCGACAAGCACATAGTAACGCACAACCTTCCATCCCAGTAACGGTAACGGCGTTGCAACAGTGGGAAAAGTAATTAATTAGATTATTCCGTTACCTAAAAAAGAACGCCATTAGTAACGCCGTTATACTGTTTACCACACAGCAGAAGCTCCTCCTGGCTTGGGTTGTTTGTGAAGATAAAACATCCATGTTGCAAGTCAGTGGTAGAGTTGCGGTTCTGTTATCCAATCTGAGGCGAGATATCCAAAAATCAGGAAATAAGACTAAAACATGCCGTCTGAAGCTCAGCTGTGATGTGGCTCACTTCTAGTTCCTGGAAATGGTGCACTGGTGTTTTTTTCCCCCTGAGTATGACTTACAAGGCATTCATTCCTACTAACCACTGCAAATGTATTAAATAAACTAGTGTTCCACACCTTTAGAACATTGCTTAGCATAATTTTTTTGTTTTTGTGTAATTTATAATAAAATGAGGTATTTTTCTGTATCTTTTCCCCAGTCAATATTTCTACACAACAGCAGTCAGACTGAACTGTGGGTGTGCTTTAATCCAGCAGTCTATAAGGACCAGGCGACACATATTGTGGATGAGGTTAGTTTGATGCTGTGGATGCAGAATGCTTTGGTCTTTTTGAAGGTGATCCTTAAAAGTGGTTCAGTATAAACAAATACGGCACTTAAAACTGGCTGATCTGGAGACCCACACTGATGCAATATGCAGGAACAGGTTGAACAGAGGAAGGTCAGGTCCTTCGCTGTGGGTATTAAGATGTTGGAGCGTTTTTATCAACACTGTGTGATTTTGACTGTGGTTTGTTGGAGGAGCAGCATCAGAGCCATGGATACCAATAGACCCAGTATGATTAAAACATGCTCCATTATAGGCTGCAGACTAGACTCATTTGAAGTGGAAAAAAGGACGTTAAACTAACTGTCCGTGACAGTTAATCCAGAATACACTTAACCTCCTCTAGTCAGAGCTTTTCTTTTGCATCAACTAGTACATGAAGTCTTTCCTACCACACTCTTCACAACTGAATCTGTCTCCTCAAGCTGTAATAAATGTTGCCTGATTTATGTGAATGATAATATTCTAAAGACTTTTAGAGTCCCTTACTTAGCATAGCACTGTACACATATCTAATATTATTAACCGGTCACACACTCAGTAATATGGATTATTTTGAATCACCAATTAACCTAATGTGCATGTTTTTGTTCTGTGGAAAACAGGAAGACCCAGAGAAAACCCACGCATGAATGAGGATAACATGCTAATTCCACTCATGCATGGGGAGAACATGTTAACTCCACTTGTGCATGGGGACAACATGCTAACTCTTACTTGTGAATGGACAGAACATGCTAATTCCACTCATGCATGGGGAGAACATGCTAACTCTACTTGTGCAAGTGAAAAACATGCTAACTCCACTCATGCATGGGGACATGCTAATTATACTTATGCATGGGGAGAACATGCTAACTCCAATAATGCATGGGGAGATCTGATCATGCTAACTCCACTTGTGCAAGTGAAAAACATGCTAGCTCCAGTGCTCCACATGTGCATGGGAACAACATGCTAGTTCTGCATGGAGAGAACATGCTAACTCCACTCATACATGGGGAGATATGCCAAATCCACTTGTGCAAGTGATAAACATGCTAACTCCACTCGTGCATGGAGACAACATGCTAACTCTTACTTGTGAATGGTGAGAACATGCTAACTCCACTCATGCAAAGCGAGAACATGCTAACTCCACTCATGCATGGGGAAAACATGCTAACTCCACTCATGCATAGTGAGAACATGCTAACTCCACTCATGCATGGGGAAAACATGCTAACTCCACTCATGCATAGTGAGAACATGCTAACTCCACTTATGCATGGGGAGAACATGCTAACTCCACTCATGCATGGAGAGAACATGCTAACTCCACTCATGCAAAGCGAGAACATGCTAACTCCACTCATGCATGGGGACAACATGCTAACTCCACTCATGCAAAGCGAGAACATGCTAACTCCACTCATGCAAAGCGAGAACATGCTAACTCCACTCATGCATGGGGAAAACATGCTAACTCCACTCATGCATAGTGAGAACATGCTAACTCCACTCATGCATGGGGAAAACATGCTAACTCCACTCATGCATAGTGAGAACATGCTAACTCCACTCATGCATGGGGAGAACATGCTAACTCTACTCATGCATGGAGAGAACATGCTAACTCCACTCATGCATGGGGAGATCATGCTAAATCCACTTGTGCAAGTGAAAAACATGCTAACTCCACTCGTGCATGGAGGTGACATGCTAACTCTTACTTGTGAATGGCGAGAACATGCTAACTCGACTCATGCATAGCGAGAACATGCTAACTCTACTCATGCATGGGGAGAACATGTTAACTCCACTTAACTGAGCTCTTTATGAGGTATTTATTGTCTAATGACTTATTGTCATTGTGTGTTTGGGCATTAACCCCCCTTGCCTACTGGTGGTGTTCGGAGGGACCGGTGGCGCCAGTGCTCGGCAGCCTCGCCTCTGTCAGTGCACCCCAGGACAGCTGTGGCTACTTGTAGCTCATTTTCACTAGCATGTGATTGTGTAACTAGGTGAATGACTGATTGTGTTGTAAAGCGCCTTGAGGGGTTCCAGGACTCTAGAAGATGCTATATCAAATACAGTCCATTTAACCATTTTAATGTTAATACAAGAAATATTTTCTAAATTTATGTAATCATATAACAAAATAAGTGCAAGAGACATAAATGGGACAGTAGACATGTGAGCTGGAGATGGCTGGCTTCTGATGAAAGTAGTAATCCTGAAGCTCCATCTGGATGCTTTAAGGACAGAAGTGGTTTGATGGAATAAAAGCAAAAAGAAGGCTGGAGAACTCAAAGTGACAAAAATTTGATAGGTGCAAGGTGCAAGCACAAGAAAAGACTAACATTTCGACACCCGCTGGTGTTGAAATGTTAGTCTTTTTAAAGCCTATTAAACCTATTAAACTTTTTGTCACTGAGTGCTCCAAACTTCTTTTTGCTTTTTTGCATCATTGTTTTTTGCTGTGGAGCACCAACTGTTGACTGGATTGTGCGCAGAGGATCTTTGAAGTAGTTTGATGGGATATTTGTGACAATGAGTTTCTACGAGTTTTATTTAATATTCCTTTCTTCATTGACATTCTTCTGCAGCTCCTTAAAATCAGCTACTTGGAACACCCACACCACTACATGGTGGAGCTGCATGCTGAGGTCCACTACCCCAACCTCCACTTCTCCTCCACCGTTGTGGACTTTGGCTGTGTCCACAAGTCTACTGAGGCCAATACAGAGATGACGATCACCAACTGCTCTCAGCTGCCCGTGTCCTACCGCTGGGCTTTTCTGGATCACCGCCAGCACATAAAGTATATTTACTCTAAAATCTCCACATTTCCCCCAAATAGTATGATACATATTAGAAAATATATATTTATATTATACACATACTACAATCATTCAAAGTGTATACATGTAATAAATTATTTAACAGTGGAGCAGTTGTGTGCTTTAATAAGGAAGATTAGACCTAATCTTTTCCGTTTTAAAATATATTTTTAATATTGTCAACATTTTGTAAGATTGACAAAGTTTAGCTCTATCACCAGTCACAGAGAAACAACTGCAGAACAAAGCTAGATCGAGCTGTTAACACTAGCATGAGCTACTGTGAGGCAAACAAAGATTGTAGAAACCCTAACTTTCCAGGATGTACTGGGACACACTTTCTTGTTCGTCACCATTCTTTTAAAAACAATAATATGTTCAATTGTTCAATGATTTCTCATCACAGCCCAGCTTTGAGATATTCCCTCACTAAATCTCCTACATCCATGTTTATTCAGCACTTTGCTGCTGCCTGCCCATTAAAGCACCTCTACATTATAGAATTATCTGTTAAATTAACTTGATGGATGCACCCAGCGTTATCCCACAGGGAAGGAAAGGGAAGAGCTGTGAAAGAAAATCAGAATCTTGAGTTCTTGATGTGAGATTTTCTGAAGATGGCATTTTTTTTCATTCCATCCATCACAGGATGTGGCTAAGATTTAGATTTACTGTAGAGAACATGAATGTCTAATTTGTGGACTGATTTATGATTGTTATGCCCTCACAGAGACACAGAAACAGTAGGAAAAAAGATGAAGCAGGAGGATCCAGAGAGTTCCTCCACGACTGTCTCAACTTTTCTTTCACTTCCTCCAATCCTCAGGCATGGTGAAGATGAGAATCAGAAGGAGGTAAGCAAATGTTCACTTCTGAACACATTAGGGTTTCCCTTGAATTTCCAGGAAGTTGCCAAAAGCTGATGGTCCATGTTGATGTGGCAGCAACAAGGCAGTAAAGCGAGTGTTCATATTCCTGCACACTCTAAATCCTGATTTGCAGCCTGAACCAGAAATCTTCTAGTAAGTAAATAAGTAAATTTTATTTATATCATGAAACAAAGGAAAGATTATTACAAATTTGAATTAAAAATAAGAAAAAAGATTTATGTAAAAGCAGCTTTAATTAAAAGGGTCTTCAGCTGTTTAAGTGTCCAGACTGCCAATCCTACGTAAGGATAAAGGAAGATCATTCCAAAGGGAAAAACACTCTGGACGGAGCGATCACCTTGACTTTTATATCCAGTCTTTGTAACTTCTAGAAGGTTCTGGTGTGTGGACCTGAGGGTAATATAGGGAGGAGCTTGACCATGTAGAGCATTGAAAGTTATAGTCAGGATTTTAAAGTTAACGGGTAACCAGTGCAGAGACATTAGAATAGGAGTGATGTGTGGTCTTCTGTTTGCTCCAGTTAGGAGCCTCGCTGCAGAGTTCTGGATCAACTGAAGGCGGTCAAGGACTTTTTTGTTAAAGCATGTGAAAAGTGTGTTACAGTAATCTAGAAGGGACGAGGTAAAGGCATGGAGAACCAATTCAAGTTCATGTTTTGACACCAACCTTCACAGTTTGGAGATATTTCTAAAGTGATAAAAACAGTTTCAGACCACTGTTTTTGAGGGGCCTTTAGGACACATTGATCGGTCAAAAACACCCAAATTCTTCAAGTTTGTTTTGACAGCAGAGGATAAATGGACATGTTTTAGACTAATCAGGGGAACCATGCTCTCAGGGGCAATGATCAGGCATTCAGTCTTTTCAGAGTTTAACTGAAGGAAGTTTTCTTCTAGCCAGCTGGTGATAGCTGATAGAAACTCTAGTAATTCAGACAGTTTATAGAGCCCATTCTACAGAGAATTAAAAACTAGCAACTTTAAAAAATATAACAATTATTTTCTTTAATTTAATTTCTTAAATTAAATAATTTAAATAAAATATGTATCCTTGAATAATATCAGGTCTAAGCTGAACACTGAGTTCAGAGATCTTTAACTTCACCAAGAACTGGTCGTTCTCCTTTGAATCCACAACTTAATAATTTTACTGTTTATTTGTGTACAAACACTCATGCTTGTTGTTAAACTCCAAACTCTGGGCAGAAACCAGCACTCCCTGGCGCTAAAAGAATGAAAACATTTAGAATTACCGAATAATGTCCACCATTTAACTTTCCAGGTTTTTGACATCCTTCCAATGTCTGGTCATTTGCAACCTGGAGAGCAGCAGCTGGTCACATTCAGCTTCTTCAACGATGAAAGCATCAGCAGAGAGGGAGTCGCTCTGTGTCATGTAGAAGATGGACCTACGTATGAAGTGAAACTGAGAGGAGAAGCTTCAGTGATCAGCTACAGCGTTGAGCCCACCTGGCTGGACTTTGGTCTGCAGGTATATGAGCAGAAGTTTATGTTTTGATTTACCCGACCAGTCCCGTCTGCCAGGGTGTTTTCCACTCTGTCTTTCTCACTTCCTCGTCCTCCTTAAGTCTACAAGCTATCGGGACCAGTTGTAATTGATATCCAAAACAAGGGCACATTGATTTTTGATTTAGGTTAAAAAGTGATTCAGCAGAACTTTCCTCTGACCTTCACCATTCTTCATCTTCATCTGGGCTGCATGGGGGCGCAGTGGTTAGCACTGTTGCCTCGCAGCACGAAGGTCGCAGGTTCGAAACTCGGCTGCAGACTTTCTGCGTGGAGTTGCGTGTTCTCCCCATGCATGCGTGGGTTTCCTCCGGGTACTCCGGTTTCCCCCACAGATCACAACATGCCCTATAGGTTACAAATTGTAAGTCGCTTTGGATAAAAGCGTCTGCTAAATAAACATAAACATCATGCTGTGTTTCTTTATTTTACTATTGGAGTAGTTTGGATTTTGTTGCCATATCCTGTATTCTTAGAAGTTAGCAGCCTTATGTCCTAACGTGTTTTTCATTATTCTCCCAAGACTTCTGTAAACGACACCAGAAGCAATAATTTGTTACCTCTATTCCCGATTCCTTTTTACATGTTTACAGCTCTTTTATTCTGTGGGAGAACTCTACATGACCGTGAGGAATACCGGCAAGTTGGGGTTCAATTTTAGCATCGAGTTCCCTCATTGTGAGAAGGAAGAGGAACATAATGTTGATGAGCTGCCACCAGATGCACAGCACCAAAACGAGGACCTGGAGGTCAGACCTGGGAGGCCCGCAGTCCTCCCTGCTGTGGTGAGCTTATCACAGGACAGGTTTCTAAGTGCAGGTCTGAGGCTTTACTTTCACTAGTTTGAAGCCTGACTGTGTATTTTCTCGTGCTAGGGGTTCATTAAAGCTGGTTCAAAGCAGGACCTGCGTGTACTCTACCTGCCAGGCCTCCCTGAGGTGTTTGAAAAACACTTTAAGGTGCTTGTGGCTTTGCTCGCACCAAAGAAGGTCACTGTGACTGGGGTGGGAGTGTTCCCTAGAGTCTTGTTGGATTTACCACGAAACTTGTGTAAGCACAGAAATGCTGTCATGCACATATAAACCAATTAAAGCCATTCCACGTCTGCCTAACTCAGTCTCTGTGTGACGTCTTTGCAGCAGACCAGTGTTACAGTGATGTGGTGGAGCAAGCCAAAGCATCTGTGTTGGCAAATGGAGTCAGGATCCGTGGACAAGCTTCCTGTACGCTCACGGTCAGTAAATACAACCAACAAGTTAGAATCATAAAAAAAACAAAAGCACGAGTTAGAACGAGTACATTTTCCTATTTAAAATTCATAAACATGATTTTATTTCAGAATTTAAAAAATATATATTTATGCTGGATTTCATTAGATAATGAGAATAAACCTAAAGGGGTACTAGGCAGTTTTGGCATGCTTTTAGCACCCCCTAGTGTCCGTTATTAGAACTGAAACCAAAATCATCGGGTACTCCGGCTTCCTCGCACAGCCCAAAAATATGACTGTCAGGTTGATTGGTTTCTCTAAATTGTCGATAGGTGTGTGTGTGTGTGTGTGTGTGTGTGTGTGTGTGCACTTGGTTGTTTGTTCTGTGTGTCTTTGTGTTGACTCACAATCTGTCCAAGGTGTACCCTGCCTGTTTGCCCAAAGACAGCTGGAGATAGGCACCAGCCCCCGCGACCCTGCATGGACAAGCGGGTTAAGAAAATGGATGGATGGATAATTTTCTGTTTACGAATTAACATATCAGAGTCTCTCAAACACTCACATAATGAATCTGTTTTTGCCTAATTTCTTAACTAAAGTTTTCTTTCATTGTGTTTTAATTTTACAGTGTGTGCTTTTCTGCTCTACGAGATGCAGGATTACTGACAATGTTTCTATTTACTGTTTATCCTCCCAGTATGTATTCATGACCCTCTGACCTCTACCCTTGTTGCTGAAATTAGGATCACAACATTTTCCTGACAGATAAGAATAAGAATCCCATAAAGTCACCAAGTGAATGAGAAACACAAGAAAGTGTCAGCAGCACCTCACCATGGGCAATTAACAAGAACAAAAATCAAAAGACTCCCAGTTTTGTTAGATTTGACAACATGGAGATTTTTTTTTCTTATTTTGGGCCTCTTAATACACCGTAGAGGTGTCTGCAGTCACCACATCTGTAATTGCACTGCAGAGTTGCTGTGTATATTTATACCACAGTAATTAGAAAGGTCAACATTTGCACGTCAGATATCTGAAGCTGACATGGAATAATAAATTCTCAGCTGGAGGTGGGAGAGGAAAAGCTTTAGTTTTAATTGGTTTTATTGAAAGTTATTCATTTAAAAACTACACAGTAAAGACAAGTATTTGTTTGAAATCTGTCACTGAAGCCTTTCTCTGAAATTCAAGTTTTGGCTTTAAAGAGCCATAAAATCAGCTAACGTCAAAGGTGTCTTTAATTATTATTCTGGTCTCCAGCTGTACAGCTATTTCTTTAACCCACTGAACTCTAATTCTTCATTCTGAAACCTTTTAGAGATCATTGACCAGTGTACATCTCCCT